TTCCGTTTAGCAAAATAGCATTTTGCCACTAAATCACCTTCATATCTTGAGACACACTATTTAAAAAGGAAATTGTGGTCAGTGCAGTCATGAGACTGTGCTTAGTTGCGTAAATAAACGAAAAAACTTTCTAAGAATCAACATATGAAACATCAAATATATAAAGAACCATGCGCTTTTAGCTTGTCAAATCCGAATTCATTTTTGTATTAAAACATCCACATAAAGCATTATTCCCAAGTGCAGAAAGGTTCATTTCTGCTGAAGACAAAAATGTGTAGAAGTACAAGAAGCTTGCAGTTTCGGTCTTAACCTCTCGATTTGACATGCAAAGTAAGAATAATTTGCAAGTGCAGAAAGGTTTACTGTCACTGACAAGAATCAACATAGAACAAGGAGCGAGAGACCACTTTCACGTCTGAAAGGTAATACGTGGAGGAAGAAAGTGCATAATATTACATGCATGAGAGTTAATAGGTGAATGAAATAATCGAAAAACATCCATTAAATAGAATCATTTTAATTTATATTTCATTTTAGTATTTAATTGGGTAGAAGATTCTGTAAACATAGAACACCGAAATTCATGGCTACTATGATGCACGTGCTGTGCAACAAATGTACCTCCCAAGCCCCAACCCTCAACAGGGTTGCTGGAAAGTTGGAAGCCTTTAGCTTGTCCACAGAAGAAGAAGACGTTTTAGTATCTTTCTTCTTTCCGGCCTCAGAACCACCACCACTGGTAAGAAACGCTTTAGAAGAACTTCCTTGAGAAAGCCTCATTTGAATCAAATCCACTAAAGATGGGCTTTTCCTCAGACGCAGCCCCAATGGGCTAGGCTCATCGAGTGGATTGTACTGTGGTTGATCCGACAATACTCCACCAGCATCTGTATTCCACTGTCAAAAGATACAAGTGTTCTAAGAGCAAGTAAATAAAAGCAAAACGTACAGAAAATAAAGCAGTTGTCGCTTTGAGAAATATTCAACGACGTGATGTCATACAGATAGAAAACGTGCTACTTCCTCGGGTATGATTTAAAACCAAAGGCTATGCGTTTAATCCATCAAACAGAAAACGGGGACGGACGCAGTTCGCTGCTCTACCGCAACATGCATAATTGATCAGGGCATACCTGCGGGAAGGAAGCCGAGCACTTCGATATCTTGTATGCGGGGCCGTGCAGTTCCGCCAATGGATCCTCAGTCTCCAACTTCACCGCCGCCGCAGACAGCGGCCGCTTGCCCCCGCGTGCAACCTCCGTTTCCGGCCGGAGATCGCCGGGATTCGGCAACCGAACCATAAATATCCCCTCCGCCTCCCACAACAACTCAATCAAAACGCAGGATCGCCCAATAGCCTCACCTCCCCCAAAATCCAATCTCCTTCAATCCAATCTACCGAGAAAACAAAATAATATAACCAAAAATTAAAAACGATTAATCGGAAGCCGGCCACCCTCGCTCCCCAATCCCCCTGAGTAATCGAAAAGGGAAACAAACAAGATGAAACGAAAACCCTAATCCGGAGCCCTCTCCCCCCCCTTCTCTCTCTCTCTTCGCCCTCCCAATTCCTCGATCGATCTCTCTCCAAGCTCCTCCAAGCTCTTCTAATCAGAGAATCAGGAGAAGCGGGTATATTTCTAAATTACGTAAAAGACTTAAAGACCCCTATCAGACCTTATTTGTTACGAAGAAAATTGGTCTTCACCTAAACATATATACAGGGTATTTTAGTAATGTTGTGCATTAGACACGTTTCCAGCATCACGTGGCTGCGCGACACGTGGAATCGAGCAGCTAAAGCTGCGAGACAGACGTAACTGAATGCTGAACCCTTCGTTGTGGGGCCGTAGTCCTGTTTGGACTGTCCACTTGGAGACGTGTCATTGGGTGGCTTTACCCGCGTGGACAAGAAACGTGGCCGCTGGTGGGACAACCAAGTTGCTAACCGATAAGGCTCCAAGAGACGGCGGCCAGGGGGGATGCACGCTCTTTGTCGCGACATGTGCTTCGACTGAATTTACGATTTTGCCCTCTAAGCCCAAGTACGTGGTAGTTGGTGAAGCAGGTTGACTTAATATCCGTTACCAATAAATTAAATAATAACGTATTATTTTTATATTCATATTTTTAGTTCATTTTTTTTTTGGAATTATAACTCATTTATGATGATTCCCCAAATTGTAAGAATTAATAGGGCAAATTAATTTCTTTTAGAGGTTCTAGGTGAAGTACACAGTTGACTTTAAGTAGAAAGGTCAAAACGGAATGAGTTCAGGCTAACGAGTGGGAAGCAAGAGCTCCCAACTGAGTCAAAATCCAAGAAAAGATGAGAAATCTTTGGTGGGTTTATAGAAATGGTTTATGAGTGATGTAAGAGAGGCAAAGTGGAATCTTGGTCAAAGGTACACTTCTTTGGCTTCTAGCCTAAAACCCATTCTTTCTCTCCCCCCCAACTCTCTGGGTCCAATTAATGAGATTGGACCAAACTAGTCTACGTCTAAGCTGACTTTGCCTTTGCCTTTGACTTCAACTCTTTCTTTCTCTCTCCTATCTCCCTCACTCTCTCTCTATCCTCTCTCTCTCTCCCCTCCCTCTCTTTCTGCCCCCTCCCTCTATCTCTCTTTCTCTCTCGCTCTCCTTCGCTTTGGAGGCGGAGGTGCCTGGACTTGGGCCCGTTGCCAACTCTTCGAGCATCATGAGACATTAAAGTAAGAGAGGGGGAATGAAATAGAGTATATGTGTAATTTTATAAGTATTATATCTTAAAATAAAATAATTATTGTTTGGAAGGTAAAAGTAAAAATGGGCACCTTACCTCTGTCCCTATCAGGGGATGATGGTTCACGGGTTCTCCCATTGGCGAAAAACTACAGACGAGTGCAACTGGCCCCCTCGTCTCTCTCTCTCTCCCTCCTTATTTCTCTCTCTCTCTCTCACTCTCTGCACGAACTAAAGACAACATGTGCGACAGACAACCCCAAGACATGATAATATCGGTGGCATGGTGAATTAGATGCAAGCAGGACCTCTCTCTCTCTCTCTCCTCTCCCACCTCTCGTCTCCTCTCTCTCTCTCTTCCAGACAGAGACAAGCACGTAACTCCTCCCCTCCATCAGATAGGAGGTGAAGAAGGAGGGGTCGATGAGGAATCACCGACCGGCGTTCTCAGTGCTGGTGAAGAGTCCCACGTGAAGCTCCAATAATTCCTCCTTCCCCTTCCCCTCCATCTGCCTCCTCTCCTCCGGAGCTCTCTCCCATGGCGGCGCCGCCCACTCCATTTTCCCTTCTTCTCGTGGTCTTCGTCGTCGTCGTCGTCGCCGCCGCCGCCGCCGCCGTCGCCGCGGGTTCTCAGTTGCCTGAGGAGAGGAAGATCCTGAGCTTGCGGAAGCTCCCATGGGAGGAGGAGAAGAAGACGCCCATTAAGCCATGCCCTCCACAGCAATCCAGTTAGAACCTCTCTCTCTCTCTCTCTCTCTCTAAACTCTGTCTATAACTTTCCCCCTGACTGAGTTGAGTGCAGGAAGGGAGAACGGGGCGACGATACTGGAGATGCGCCGCCACGACTACTGTGGAGGGGGGAGCCGCAGCTGGGAGGAAAGGACCCACCACCTGCTGCTCTCCGACGAGTGGCGCGTCCGCTCCTTCCAGTCCGCGGCGGCACCGCCGCCGGAGGTCCTTCTCCCCGTCATCGCCGGCGAGAAGCTCCACACCCTCAACTACGTCGTCTCCATCGAGCTGGGCTCGCAGAAGACGACCCTCATCGTGGACACCGGCAGCGACCTCACCTGGGTGCAATGCCGCCCCTGCAACTTCTGCTACAACCAGCGGGATCCCCTCTTCGACCCCTCCTCCTCCGCCACCTACCGCCCCGTCCCATGCAGCGGTGCCGCCTGCGGGGCCCTCCAGCTCGCCGCAGGCAACCAGCGAAGCTGCACCGCCGGGCAGGGGGCCTGCCGGTACGCCGTTACCTACGGCGACGGGTCCTACACGCGCGGGGAGCTCGCGAAGGAGAGGATTTCCCTCGGCGGCGCCGCCGCCGCGGTGGAGGGCTTCGTCTTCGGCTGCGGGAGGAGCAACCGGGGGCTCTTCGGCGGCGCCGCCGGCCTGATGGGGCTCGGCCGGAGCGAGCTCTCTCTGGTCCGCCAGTCCGTCCCCCAGTTCCACGGCCTCTTCTCCTACTGCCTCCCCGCCGGCGACTTCGACTCCGCCGGCTCCCTGGTCCTCGGCGGCGACCCCACCGCCGCCTACCGGAACTCCTCGCCGGTGGCCTTCACCCCGCTCCTCTCCGACCCCCATCAGAGCCCCTTCTACCTGGTAAACTTCACCGGCGCCGCCGTCGGCGGCGTGCGGCTCCAGTTCAACGCGGTCAAGGTTCTGGTGGACTCCGGCACGGTGATCACACGGCTGGTGCCCTCCATCTACGCGGCTGTGAGGGAGGAGTTTCTCCGGCAGTTCTCCGGCTACCCGGCGGCGCCGCCGTTCTCCATCCTCGACACCTGCTTCGACCTCTCCGGCCACGACGAGGTGGCGGTGCCGAAGATGAAGCTGGAGTTTGAAGGTGGGGCGGCGGCGGCGGTGGACGTGAGCGGGATCTTCTACTTCGCCAAGAGGGACGCCTCGCAGGTCTGCTTGGCCCTCGCCAGCTTGTCCCATGAAGACCAGCTGGGGATCATCGGAAACTACCAGCAGAAGAATCTGAGGGTGGTCTACGATACCGAGGGGGGCAGGTTAGGGTTTGCAGAGGAGATCTGCGCGTATGGGTAGGAAGAAGATGATCACTTTCCATGTTCTAGGGTTTCTGACAGAGGTAGGGGACGAACCCATGCTTCTTCTATTCCATTATTGCGTGTGCTTCGGAGAGAAACAGGGAGAGATTGACTTCCCCCTCCCCCAATGGGTATGATCTAGAGTCAACGTGTGGGGTTTCCTGTGGTCAACCGGAGAGTCAATGAGGAAATTAAATTGTGGGCTCTCTCACCGAGGGGAGACCCAGAAACCAAAATCTTGAAAGCATTCTGAGTCAGAAATGGCAATGGGAAGGGAAGGGAGGCTAAATAGTGTGGAGATGGGATATTAATCAATACACTCAAAAGGTTTAAAAAGGAAAAGTGCAGGCCACACCTCGGATTAGGGTTCTTCATCCTTCTTCCGTGCACTAAAACCATCCATTGATAGAAGAAATCCACAGCTGCGTGGGCCGTCTGTTGAAAATCTCGTCAGCTACCTGGTGCCCGCATGAGTGGAGGTCTCTCCTCAGCGGCCATTAATGGAATGGAAGGTTTCCACCGGAGAATTCGACTTCCTGTTGCAGTTAATGAGCACAGCGGTGGAAATTAGTACATGAAAATGGCTCCAACAGGAGACAAGTGACAGTAATCTCTCCCTGAAGGAGTTTCAGGGATGAAACATACTGGAGGAGGAGGGAGGGATGAGACCCAGTCCGATACATGGGTTGGAAGAAGCCCCAAGGTGTTCAACTGTCAGATGAACAGATAAAAGTGCGAAGAAACCACAGTCAGCTGAACGAACAGTCCCATAAGAGGAAAAAGATAATTCCAGGGTTAGAACACAGGTTACCTTATAGAAACCCAGCCCGAGGCCCACCAAGTTCAAGGCTATAAATAGCAGCTTGGGGGCTAAAGTCTCCACTCTTGAGTCCTTGTAAGGCTCAAAAACTGCAAGATGAAGTTAGAGTAGTTAAATCACCAAGTTGGCAATTGTCGATAAAAGTCAGCGGACAGATGCATTTCGAGTATGCAACTGAAAGAAGTCTACAGTTGACTTTCTATTATATGGCAAAAGCCCACATTCGAATGAACAATAATGAAATATAAATCAACTCATTTAGCCCCCCCAGTGATGCAGGGAGCATCCACTCACTGAAGTCGAATTCCATTATCGTACCTTTACCAACGTTCTGAAGGGCGCTCACAGGTTGCCAGAGAGCTGAAAATGTGATGCCAATACTGAACAAGTGGACCGTGCTTCCAGCCATCCACATCATGAAGCCCATCATTAATAGATTCTTGAATGGCGCCTGAGCAACTTCCCAAGCTTTCTTCTCATATGCATAGAGGGAATGAGAAAAGAACATATCAGCCAGCCGTATAATACAAATTATATCTAGTTCGATAACCCAAAACATGGCAAAGGATATTCTCAGACAACTCAAAAATCCCGAACTCAGAGAACATAAAGGAAACAGTAACCGGATACTAATTTCTAAGAATCATTTGCAAAACTTCAGGGAAGCACAATTATACATCTTCTTAGGTTTAATCACACCCAAAGTGTTAAAGGATGGAAAACAAAAGTGCAAAGAAGATGTTAAACACATCTCAGGGTGTGAAATTTAGAAAGATGTATCCTTCCTGGCTGTGATGAGCTACACAGGGAATATCCTAGTTCTTGGCGCAACAACAAACTGTATTACAATTCAAGCGGATCAGATGGCTGAACATGTTTCGAAGAATGTTTAGAAAACAGTCTAGAGAGACTTATTTGTCATACGCAATGCACCACATGTACAACAACCTGGCAGCGTAACATAATAGCTCTGCATCTCAATAAATATGTTCAAGGAAACGTTTTAGGAAAAAAAAGGCGATACAAAGAACAGCCTTTATAAAATAAATCTTTTGATAAAAATAAAAAAACTTGTATGATTTGCAGATAATTAGTGGAGGTGATAAACCTGTATGGATAAGAATAACATCAATTGAGTTGGCCCAAAAAAAAATTAGAACTAATCGGATACAGCAAGCCCTTCCATCCAAAAACCCCCCAATAACAATATCAATTGTGGGTAAATAATAACAGATCACAGGTTCTGATTAGAGAAGGATAATAAATTCCTTCACATCAAGCCTCGTGGGATGCAGAATCTTCCTCGTCGGTAGACACTGCTTTTAACTTGAGCAAACACATCGATTTCTTAGCAATTCTACAGGTTTCATAGTATCAAAATTAAACTAAACCAGAATACCCTAAGCTAAAATAATGAACCAGGAACGTCAATTCATAAACTCGGCAGAAGGAGTCCTGCACAACAACAAAAACCGGAATTCACAGGCGTGGAAAGAAAAACAATTACGCCAACACGACACAAATCTGCATAAATCTTATGCTATCAGATACCTGCGCTTTCCAGAGAGCCTCGGCATCCTTCTTCTGCCGGGAACTGCTGGCATCGTCCTGAGCAGGGGACGAAGAAGGTCAACGCGAGTTACTCAACTACAGTAAACAACCCCCGGTGGATCGAAAAGATGATCACCAACGGAACCGCAAAAAAAAAACGCCATCTTCAACGGAATTCGAGCACCACCTCCGAGAAAGAGATCTACCTGTTCATGGACGGATCTGGTGAAGCCAAGGGGATCGGGAACAGCGGCAGACGACGAGGTGGAGGACCCCGTGCTGTCGGCTAACTCTACTGCCCACCTCCTCGCCAATCCCTTCCCTTTATCCATTCCTCTCCCCCCGTCTCCCACCGCCGATCCTCCAAAGGGAGAGAGAGAAGAGAGAGAAGCGAGAGAGAAGCGAGAGAGAGAGAGGCACTGCTAGGTCGAGATCCGGCCGCCGATGGTTCCTGCGACCTTCGCGAGACTCCTCCCCAAAAAGAAGAGGAAGAAGCATCAGCCACTAGTATATGAATACGTATCAATACGCACAGAACACATGCACATCAGAGACAACTTGATTAAAAACTTCATTTTCATAATTTTTTTCCATTTTTATTTGATTACGCACGGGTAGATGCACATCAATTCACACAGGCTCTCGACCCCGTCAACCCGGTCTAGAAATAGCCGGTTTAACCATGCCCCGCTGTTTATCCGGTTCGGTCTCGTCAAGTCATTTAATGCCCTTTAAATTTTCAGTCAAATATTTACACTGATTATTCAATATATAATTTTAATAACCATCGTTTTTGCCACGCCCACGATCTCAGTTACCAAACCTACTCAACTTCTAAAATTAAAATTATACCATATATTTTTTATATATTAATAATAATCCTAGCATATTCACTAAATTATCATTTATTTTTTTATAATAAAAAAAAGTTTTGACATGATCGTACTAATTGTTATTGCTTTCATTGTACTTTTTACCATGGAGTTATAAATGTCAACGGTTAATTACTTTATAAATTAAAATATATTTTAAACATATTAAAAAATTCACGATGTACCATCATCAGTGATGGAACTTAATCCTAGACTAGGCCCACCCTATTAATATTCACTAAAAAGACATGTTTGGCGTCATTGAAATCATCGTTTTTTTTTAATAATCAACAAAAAAAAAAACGTGATCATACTAATTGCTACTGATTTCATTTTACTTTGCCATGGAGGTATAAATGATTACTTCATAAATTAAAATATATTTTAAACATATTAAAAAATCATGCGGGTACCATTTTTTTTGATGGACCTTAATCCTAGACTGGGCCCATCCTATTAACGTCAACATGGCAGAAAGTCAACTTTGATGAAGATATGCTAAAAAATATACAATTATTGATGGACAAATAGAAACTTGAGGTGATAAATGCAATTAAATACATCAATTCAGGGAGGAAGGAGATTGGACTCTCTTTAATCTCTTTGAAATTGTTGAAGGTAGACCTAATCTTGTAAAGTGTGTAAGGTTGACTTTCAAAGATTGATAAGTAGGGTAAACTCCCATGACACAATCTTGACATGTCCTTGATATGTGAGTGCTCTCCCTCTCTTTCTCTATCTCCTTCCCTCCTTCCCTTTCTCTCTCATGTGAGAAGGAAAGGGATGTGACGCTTGCCCATAAAAGGAAGGGAAGGGAAGGGAGGGAGAGCTCATCTTGTAAAGTGTGTAAGGTTGACTTTGAAGGGTTATCAAGTTGGGTAAACCTCCATGACATGATCTTGACCCAAATTTATATCAATTTCTGTTATAAAATCGAAAGTCTTTAAATAGGTACATACTAAGTTTTACACCTCGAGACCCATTGACCTTACTCGACGTGTGACTACTCTCTCTCTCTCTCTCTCTCTCTCATGCGAGAAGGGAAAGGATGTAGAGAGAGGATTGCCCATGAAAGATGGAACACTTTAGTCAAGCCAAAGAACAGAGCTTGAAGCATGCGACGGGGAAGAACAGAGCTTGCAGTCTATGCAGGCCAAACATATACAGAAGCACCCGTTGACCTTACTTTACATGCACTTAATCTCTCTCTCTCTCTCTCTCTCTCTCTCTCTCTCTCTCTCTCTCATGTGATAGGAAAAAGAGAGCATTTTAATCAAGAGAAAGAACCACACCCATCCCTGTGTTTCAGAGCTTGAAGCATACAACGAGAGGGATCTTCTCTACAGGGAACATCAGAGCTTGGAGTCTATGGAGACCAAACACATAGAAGGTTTACCCATTTACCTCACTTGACATGCGCTACTCTCTCTTTCTCTCTCTCTCTCCCTCATGCGAGAAGGGAAACGATGGTGTAGAGAGAGAGAGGAGAGAGAGAGAGAGGAGAGAGAGGAATGCCCATAAAAAATGGAACATTTTAATCAAGCAAAAGAAGCTCACCCCCCCTTGTGTTTCAGAGCTTGAAGCACGCAACGAGAGGGATCTTCTTCACAGGGAACAGCAGAGCTTGGAGTCTATGGAGGCCAAACAAATGCAGAAGGCTTGGTACCCAGTCAGCGGATACCTAAACAGATTGAAACCACAGAGAGAAGACTGATCAGGCCATCTCCGTCCTCCCCCCTTCTACAGCTCGAAACAGACCATCAGATTTCTTTATCACCTGTATTCCATGAGAAACTTCATCTTCCCGATCCTCCCCAGCTGCAGGATCGACTGCCGGACCTTTTCCTGTGGATGATTGGAGATGTTAATTGCCTGAAATCGTTGTGTTCTTCAAATTGGGGGTTCCTTTATGGAAAGATCCCAACTTACGTCCAGTGTGAGCTGGAAATTCTTGACTGAAGATTGGATCCTCGGGGACGGTCTTCCTCCTCTCTCTCTAAAGTCTAACTCGTACCGCTTGGAAATCTAGAACAGCATTCCAAAGGGAGGAATATATATATATATATTCAGTGAGAGAAGACTGACAGAGAAAGAGGAGAGAGAGAGAGAGAGCTGTCTTTTTCTCACCATTCTCAACTAAATTCGAGGCTCATGACCAGAACTACTATACAGCCGGGGGATCAATGTTGGACTTTCAATGTAAAAAAATTCGGAAATTTTTGCTTGATTTTCACCGAATGAAGTCAACGGAGAAGAGAAATTGTACTCACATTGTTATAACGTGGAGCCCTTGAATGAAGTTGATGGGAGTTTCCGGACTTCTCCTGGAAATCCCCTGGAAATCCGTTGACATGGTGAACCTGCATCATTTGAACCAAAGGTCAAGACTTTTTTACCCATTCCAGATCCTCGGAGCCGCCCGAAGATCTAAATCCGTAAATCTGCACCTGGGTTGTGTTCTTCAGCTGCATCGAGTGTTGTTTTGGTATCCACGCCTTCATGTTTCTAAAGCTTCCAGTCAACGTAGTTATGGTGGGGACAAACCTGCCATACATGAATAGAATTACGGGAAGGAGAAGAAGATGAAGGAAAGAAAACAGAAGGAAGGAAGCTCACTCCACAACGCCAAGGAGCTTGGATTGTTTCTTCTTCGAACGAAGCGAGCTGCTGCCCTGAAAACAGAGTATCGATCAATGGTACTACCTACGGCAATTGAATTGACCGATAGCAAAGCCTAATCGACTTAATTTATTCTTTTTCCGCTGAAAGAATTTTGATATCCATTTGTGGTAATTCTTTCCCCAGAAGAACGATTAGCTATTAAAAACAATCATACTTGTTACTAAATTATTCTGTTCTAAAGAAACCATAGTTATGCACAAGACAGATGATGCCATATACGGTATTTTCTCCCCAGAAGAAGGATTAGCTATGAAAAACAATCATACTTCTTACTAAATTAAACCGTTCTAAATAAAACCATAGTTATGCATAAGAAAGATGATGCCATACACGGTATTTTCTCCCCAGAAGAATGATTAGCTATTAAAAACAATAAAACTTCTTACTAAATTATACTGTTCTAAGGAAACCATAGTTATGCATACGAAAGATGATGCCAAATACGGTATTTTCTCCCCAGAAGATTGACTTCTGATTATGTCTGGAAGTCAACAAAATGAAAGAGCCACAGTTCAGACACATTTTCAACCTTAAAAGGAAATAAAATAATAGTATTCATTAGAAACCAGAACCTAATGTATTGTCCCCAAAATATTACTTACTGGTGTTAGTAATGAAAAAGAACAATCCAAATCTTGATATTCATCTGAGAGGGAAAAGATATTGATGTCCATTGACTCACCTGATCCCATATATGATATCTTGTTCCCAGAATATTAGCCCTGATGGTTCCCAGAAAACTGTCATCTGAACCACAAAAGACCCCGTTTATGTTCTGAGCAACGACGAATTCTGACCGCCCATTCCGCCTTTTATGGCGAGCAACAGCCAACTTTCGATCCTGTCTCCCATGGCCTTCCTGTCGATCGAGCATCAGAGGGACAGAGATTTAAAAACTCTGAGATGATGTTACTCGTTGCAACGGTGTGAATTCTATAATTATTTCTGAAAGCATACATAATTCTGTCGACGATCGGAGGAAAAAGATGAAAAATCCATGGCGATACCATAAAATTTTATGAACACAGATTTCCTTTCAGATTGACTTCATCCAAATTGTTCGTGATATCAATTGAATGGAGAGTTCTTCCAACTCACATGAGTATAAAGAGAATAGACAGAAACTCCGTCCAGCCCTTGCGTTTTCTCCTTGACTATGATGCATGTACACCGCCCAACATCCAGAGGAAGAGGCCTGTAGAGAATTGACCTAAAAACGGCGATCTGGTCAGAGCTCATCCGATAATTCCATTAGAAGTCAGTTTCATCGCAGGGATTTTCTATGACTCGTCCGCTTCTGTGCCAGTATTTATCAAAAGGTGTTAAGACAGCCGCTAGCAGATCTTACCTATTGGGAAGAGTGGACCATGAAGATGCCGGAGCAGCCTCGTTGTCCGAGAAATCCCACACGTCTGACGACGAAGGGATGGGCTCCCACGAACCCAGGCTCCCTAGAGACCGCTCCGGCTCCCCTTGCCGCATGCAGATCTGCAGAGAAGAAGGCTTCAGGTCCCCCGTCTGCCTGCAGTTCTTGATGTTGGCCGGAGCTAAGGGAACCTTCACCCCCGAAAGCTGCGGCCTCCCCTTGAAAGACGGCTTGGGATCGCAGTTGCTGTAGCAACGGGCGACGGCGAAGGGTGAGACATTCTCCTTGTCGACCCCGTAGCCGGGCGGGTTAATGCTCAGCGATTTGTGGAGCCGCGTCGGGAAAGATGACCCAGAAAAATGTGGCGGGCGGGGCAGCAGGGAGATCACAGAGGAAGAATCCTTCGTAGTAGTCATCGGCGGAGGATGGGAGAAGGAGAGCTGCCGCAGCACAGCGAGAAGGTGGAAAATTTGAAGGGTTTTCTGAAAGGGGAAGGACGGGAAGATTCAAATTTGAAATAACGGGCGGGGGAAGAGGAAGATGGGACCCATGTAATTAACGGTCTAATATTTTGGGGCTCGTGTCACGGGCCCTCGGGCCACTCATAATTAATGGGCAAATTATTTTATTAAAATAAGACAAAATTAACTCTATCAAACTATTTAAAAATAAGTATATTCCTAATTTATAGATAATCTTATTTTTTTATGACATTTGGAATAATCCAGGAAAAAAGTTACCCTTTTTGTTTTTTCTGTAATGCTACGTCACGAATTGGATTAAATCTTAATCCACTGTGAATTTATGTACTCGATTATTTTATATATATTTATAATTTTTCTATTATATATTTATAATGTTTATGTTTTATTTTTTATATATTATAAGTTATTATATTATTGCACACAAACATTATTTAAATTTAATTAGAGGCCATTACGTGTCATTAAAAAATAGATAAAGAGGGAAATTAAGTCGACCAGTGTAGACTTTTATTCGCCACGCTTATTAGAGAGAATAACTTTTTCTAATTCATTGCTGAAAACCCCATCTGAGTAAATTTACGTATTTCTTTGGAAAAACTGACGATTTTAATGTGGATATTGAAATCAGATTTTATTTTTTAAATGCATTTTTTTCTCAAACAATTTATTCTAACCAGAATAATTTACCTCCCTTAAAAAAAGAACAATAAAAATGAAAAAAAAAATCGGGATAAATGTTACCCAAGGGGGCGAGGAAAGCAAAGACCGCTCCAGTGAGAGGGCTGTTGGGCCACGTGGCGGGTGTGCTTTTTTTTTGGGATATTCATTTTTATTTGTATGGGAATGGATTCTTGAGGCCCAAAGAAAATGAGGAAAGACGGAGAAGGGCAAGACTCTTGTAATATTAGATTTAAACAATGTTTAATTAGGCTGTGAAAAACAGATTTCGACAAATGTCCCAAAAGGGAGGGGTTTATTCGAAAAAAAACCGGTTTTCTTTTAAAGACCGGAGGGGAGACGGGGGCAACTTCAGGACACTGCACATGCTCGAAACCCCTCACAACCAATGGGGCCCCCGGGGGGGAGGGGTCAACGCAACGGGTCGCACCGCGATGGCCAAGACTTTAAAGTCAAACAATTAGCTTGGGGGAGAAAAAAGGGTCGAGGGTTTGTGGAGTCAAACCCCCTCCCAGCGTGGATGAACTTAAGAAGAGTCAAATGGGCGATGCACTGACCTCTGCCCTCAGTCATATCCTGCAAGAAAAAGAAACCCAGAACACAAGAAATAAAAGGTCTCTGAAGGGTGGTTCTTCTCATAAAATGGTAAGACTTGGGTGGAGATAGATAGATAGAGAGAGAGAGAGAGAGAGAGAGAGAGAGAGAGAGAGAGAGAGAGAGGAGTGAGAGAGATGGAGATAGAGAAATAGAGAAATAGAGAGAGAGAGATAGAGGTAGAGATAGAGATAGATAGATAGATAGAGAGAGAGAGAGAGAGAGAGAGAGAGAGGAGTGAGAGAGATGGAGATAGAGAAATAGAGAAATAGAGAGAGAGAGAGAGAGATGGAGATAGAGAAAGAGATAGATAAAGAGAGATAGAGATAGAGAAAGAGATAGATAGATAAAGAGAGATAGAGGTAGAGATAGATAGAGATAGAGATAGAGATAGAGAGAGAGACAGAGAGAGAGGGAGAGAGAGAGAGAGAGGAATTGGCGGGCAATTTCTGGGCGGTCAGTGTTGGCTCAAACTCAAATTAAGAGAATGTAAAGCGATGAAGGAATCAAAGCAGTGGGTTCTCTATATATCAGAATCCAAGAGGAGGGACCAATAAAGATCCAAGATGAACCAAGGAATTATAGACCAAAAAAGTCTCCGACTGAAATAATTTGTAAGCCAGGCAACTTACCTTCAATCGTCGTCAACAGCATGCTCCAACAAGTAGTTTGCAGCCAATTCCTCGTTCCTATCGCAAGCCAAGAACGCCTCTACGACCAGAGCTCTATCGAACCCCATCGCTTCAAGCTGATTTAGAAATAAACCAAAAAAAAAAAAAAACAAAAAAAGAAGAACTCATCAGAGAGGACAAGCGGATGTCACAAGCAGAAGCACATAGCACAACAGAAACCGGCATACGCGTCCAATAGCCTCTTGCTCTGCAGGAGTAACACTGATGGTCTCCTGTTCAGGTTGCTCAAATACATCCCTAATATAAAAGAAAAGCAAAAAAGGCTTTTTAAAATTAAAAAATGAATATCTTCCTTGGACTGAGGGCATCTGAAAAGATCTAAATTCGAATTTGGACGGATAAAATCGGCATAAAATGATGCATCAAAGTCGTTTGATTCTCGAGCTTGACCCGTTTTTAAGTGTCAAGGGTTGGGTTTTATGAATTCAAAAGCAGGGGGTTTTAATGATTTTCAGAATTAACACAAATAGAGATGATATCATAATTAATAGCTATGCTAAAACGTAAATATTAATTCGTCATTCAAAGCCCAGACAAGTCTAAAGTGGAAGCTCACTCTTCAGCACCATCTTCAGACGGCTCACTTATTAGTTGAAGAAACTCTGCATGGTGCTCCTGAATTAATCTCAGAAGCTGGGGATTCTGCTTGCTCAGCTCCTGAAGAACTGGCTACAGTACAAACGGCATTCCAAGTGATAACGTAAGATAGAGGAGCATGCTAGTACGGATCACCTTCAAAATATCTCAGAAGAATGCAATGAACAGACCTGTAAAATTTGTGGATTTGATTGGACCATTGACCGTAGAGTTTGGAACTACAACATACAAGAGAATTTCAACTCATTTTTTTTTAAAAAAAATTAAATTGAAAAAAGATCTAAAGATGTGCAAGGTCAGATGATGCATCAGACTGCATGGTGATATTTAATCAGTTACAAAGGGTAACTCATGAATACCTCTCCAATGGGGAAGAATCAAGGCACAGGATACCAGCACTGGTTTCGTTAGTCGTGCCACATCTTAAGTTCTAGCCACAATGCTTTAGAACTCTAAATCTCTCTAATTATAGGGCCACAAGCTTTAGGTAAATCTCTCTAATCATAGGCTACAAGCTTTGGGTCAATCATCAGGTGCTATTTTCTCACGTTATGGAGAGCAAGTGTTCACAACGAGAACAGAGAATATCTCAAGAAAAGGGAAAAACGGGGTAACACTAAAAAATGAACTACATAATTATTTCCATTATTAATAAAGCATAGGCCAATTGGTTTCAAACTTGAAGCATATAAAGGAGATATTTTCACTATATGCAGATGATGAGAGAGAGCAATTACAAACCTGTTCATTATTTCTGAGAAAATCAAGTACTCCACTACCAATACCTCCAGCCGAGCTTGGAGTCCCCTGTTCAAAAATAATTCAGCATAAAGTCTATCACGGACCAAGGAAGTTGTTGGGGTTTCAAATGGATGGGCAGCCCGAGCCTGGTCCTCGTGAAATAGGGGCCAGGCCCTGGCAGCCCTTCGCCCAGTGGCAGTCCCCAAGGGGCCAGCTGGGTGCCGGGATAGCTGCATGGTGCTAATCCAGTGTCTTCCTTCCAAACACAAAAGGATGAAGAGTTACCTGTGGGAACATATTCAATGGAGAAGAGTTGGGCAGTCCAGTTGCTGGACCTACTGCTGCTCCTGTATTGGGTGCAGCCAGAGTCGATGCCTGATTTGAAGGAATACGAGCAACTGGGACAGCCACTTCAGCCGATGGAGGGACACCCTAGTATTTTAATGGTAGATGGAAATACTTAATACATGAACGCAATGCTTACCTATGAATGCATCGTATTTGTGATGGAATTAAAGCTTACAGAATATAAATATTCTACAGCGCGTTCTGGATTATTATAGGCCGCACGAAGTGCCTGAAGGACTGTCTCTCTGTCCCAATTACCACCCCCCATGTCCACCAATTGCTGAGCTGTCTGCTCAAGATTGCTGCCAGCAACTAAATTGGATGCGGCTTGACTATAGTCAATAGCTGGTACCCTGCCATCCATGTATAACTTGTAATATTTGTGTTTTCAGATCCTATTATCTATTTCTAAAAAGTATTCTATTCCAGACACAGTTCAGCTATGGATTCGAAATCTTCTGCATAAGGTAGATTGAACCACCACAATCATCATCAGAAATTTCAACAGTAAGAAGGGCAGGTATATTTCAAGAAACACGAAAATATTAAAAGTAAACATAAATAACCAAACTCTATGCTCAAGGTAACAGCAAAAAATTGCTCACTTTGAAATACAAGTGAAAATAGTCCTTTTTTTTACATCTACTTGATCGTAAACACAATCTAAATTATCATTAAATTCTCAGTAGATGCACCCTCAGAAGCACAAGATGAGCCCACGACAACCCTATACAAAAATAATTGACTCGGTCATAGTTGGGAAACAATCCCTTTAATTTCGATGTAAAAATTAGAATTAGACTAAGGGCAACTCACGGGTCTTGTGATGGTGCCTCAGCTGGGGTTGCTCGAGAGGCTGGGGCGATCGTGCTACTCTGTTCATCACAAATGATTAGAGCGTTAAGGGTTTGAACACACAAAAATAACCGCAGCCAGACACCATAGTGATTACAAATAAGCTCCAGATGAGAGCAGAAAAATACCTGGGAAGAGGAGACTCCAGCCGTACCTGAGGTTTTGCTCTGGAAAGAAAAAGGCACGATAATATTCATTATGGAATGCACGGGAAAACGCTGAGAAAAAGTGTAAGCCAAGCTTAAGAGGAGAAAATGTATTCCACTGTGACGACACGGAAATCAAAACAGACTTACCGCAGAAGGCAACAAATTTTGATGCAAAGAACATTACAAAACATTTGAGGAAGCAGTAGATGAGAGAAAGGGTGCATCACAAGAGAGAGGACGGTGGACCACCTTGCTGAGCATAACAACGAGAAAACTATCTTCTCTGACATTATTCTCCTCCAAAGTACTTTCATCTTTCAAAACCTTGCCATTGTGGATCAGCAACTGTTGACCCCATGGATAACTGTCTTTTCCTTGCACCTCCTCGATACTTTTCTTCACAGCCATAATCTGACAAAAAGAAGGTTAAATTACCGTATTTTGAAAAAATAAACCGCAGATGTTATGAGAAAACTCTGACATTGAATGCAGGAAAATAGAGCGTACAAAGGAACCACTTGTATTTCTCTAATGAGATGGGATTATGCAATGGATTTATCTCCAATTAAATCTCCAATGAGAGAAGAGGATTCAGCAGACGATTCTAGATCACTTCGTATGGATGCATAACATATAATTAAAGATCAAAAAAAGGGCCGCTTTGGACAGCCATATTGAACATTTTTTGATGATTTACCCAGCGGAAAACATGGAAACTAGATTAACTTATGTTCTGTGAAATCTAGGCGAGGGAGACTAAAAAAAAAGAAAAGAAAGTTGTACCAGTGATAGCCTCACAGAGAGATGATAAACTCATGATGATTGTGTTCCTATCGGGATCACAGGGGCAGGTACTTGCCATGATCTTTGCGCAGGAATGTTTTTACGGTATTTCGATATAAACATATTTTTTACTATGTGCACTTTGTATACCCGCAGATGAGATCTAGATATTCTTGGAACATTATAATCGTTAAGTTGCAGAGCCGATTATATAGAAAAGAAAGAAATGAATAGCGGAAACATTCACATATTAGATAATTTGGAAACATATATGAGATTTAGATATTTTGGAAACATATATGAGATTTAGATATTTTGGAAACATTGTAGTCATTAAGTTCCAGAGCTGATTTTATAGAAAAAAAAGCTACGAATCGTGGTTTAAAAAAACATCCGAACAATGTTGGCCTTAGTTTGGGGGTCTTCTCAAATAGGTGTCTTCTCTATCCAAGTTGAAAGGCAAGGAGAGACAGAATCGGCCACGATAATGATGGGTGAAAATTTTTATTCTACCATGATAAGGGGCGAATAATAAACCAGGAAAGGACTCGGGTCTTCCCTCTTCGGCAGTCCTCAGAGAGACAAGAGGGGAATAAACCAGCGTCAAAGACACCAAAGTCATGATAAATCGGATATATTTTATCAGAGACATCACACAACAGAAAAAAAATTCTTTGAGAAAGCATGATGATCCCTGGTACCGTTAGAATTATGCGGGAAGAAAAAAATAAAGATGACGCTGAGATCTCTATAATTAAATGCATTGCCCGTCACCACATGCCACATTCTCCGCCTAAATAAACTATCGGGATTCTCTCCTGCCATACTTCCGCGGATCAAAATCACATTTACAGAAATGAACAAGGCAAAAACATCAGAACTATGTACATCTCTACGCAATTCCATATCTAACACCACAATTGCAACACCGACATGAACAGGAGAACCAATTGAACAGAACGAGAACGACGACGAGCGACGGCCTCACAGAATTGCTGGGGTGAACTCGGACTTCGAAGTGGCTCCCCTTCAGCGTCTTCACGGTCAGCTTCATCGTCGCCCCTCTGCGGAGACTCGGGGAAGGAAGAGCGATGACCCCTCCCGTCCAAGGATTCCTTCTGGATCGCGAGAGGATCGGGAGAAACCCTAGAACACGTCGTATCACATAAATTTTCGTTTTGACACCAAGCGAAGCGCATGTGCTTTTTCAGTATAATGCTTTCTTAAAATTGTAATGCTTTGTTAACGGGCCAGGCCTGGTCCGGCCCGGTTCGATTTTATCGGCCCAAACCCGATCTTATCCTCACAATGGACGAGGGAGAGAGAGGGCTGGGGTGGGGAGAGAGGGAGAGAGAGGGAGAGAAAGAGGGGGTGGGGGGGGAAAAGAGAATGAGAGAGGGAGACAGAGAGGAGGGGGTGGGGACAGAGGGAGAGAGAGAGAGAAAGAGAGAGGGAGAGAGGGGAAGCGAGAAAGAGAGAGGGGAAGAGAGAGAGGTTTATTAGCACAATTTTTTAGCCAGAATAATTATCAGGTTGCTTCCGTCATTAAAATCCTATCTAAACTGATTTTTATGACGTAAGACAATTTTGTCGTATTGACGCCGCATCCATCTTTTCGTTGACAGGGTTGCCTCCTTCGGATTTATGTGACTTCTACGGACTTGACACCTGGCAACCTGAAGGCCATTCATTCAAGTCGACCCTTCTCAGCACGACACCTGGCAATCTGAGGCTTCATACCATGGGAGGAGAGAGAGAAGGAGATGAGAGAGGTGCAACCTTATGTTCTTATCTCCAAAAGACCATCTTTCAGATTGCGGAAATCATTCAAAGGTAAGGCTTCCTGACATGACACGTGGCAATCTGAGGCTAAGAGAGATGCAAACCATAGGTTCATATTCTAAAAAGTCCACCGTTGAGATCACAACAATCACTAAAGTCAACGAAAAGTCAAAATCCTTCGCAGGACAAAAAAAAAGGGAGATTACCTCGGACTATAAACGCCCACTTATTCACAGAGGGAGAAGAAACCCCTCCAAAGTCCGGCTGCTTCCTCAGAGTCTCGACATCACCTTGAATCCCGCCGCCATCTCTGCTTCTTCCTCCTCCCTGCGCCAGTAACCTAGGAGTGGCACCACAGAGGTTTCCCTCAGGGAGAAGCTCTGGTACACCAGCAGGCCGCCACCGGGGAGCTCCCTCTCGATCACGTGGCGGCGGGCATAGCCGGCGGCGCCCACCTCCCTCCCCCACGAGCCCGCCCACCGGCGGCCACCGAAGATCGTCACCGCCATGGAGAATTCCGCCGGCCTGAAGCTCCTCAGCACCCGCTCCACCAGCAAACTGCAGTCCACCGCCGCCGGGTCGAATCCCATCGCCTCGTAGCTTGCATAGCTGCTTCCGTCTTCAGGGGCGACATGGATGGAGGACAGAGCCGGCCCATTGGCGCCATTCATGGAGTACCCGCATGGCTCAAATTCATGGTCACAGATCTCCATCTCCGGCATGATGGCCTGAATCCCGGCGAGCTCGGTCATCGGAGATCCCTCTGCTGCCGCCACCTCCTTGAAGAAGATGGCGGCTCGGCGGCTATCCAGCCCCGTCATGCACATCTCCACCGTCACCGTGGCAGGCGGCTCCGGCATGTGGGTGGCGTAGTAGACGTGCCAGCTCCGGCCGGGGGAGCTCATGTCGTTGAGCACGTAGGCGCGCCCGCCGGAGGAGAGCCCGCCGAAGAAGATGTTGAGGACCGCCACCTCCTCTGAGAAGCTCCTGTGAGGGGCCGGCTGGAGGTCGGGGAAGGTGAAGCTCCCCCGGGAGTACCTCGCTGAGGAAACTGAGAGCAGCCGATCGGCAGCGAGGGTGAGAATTCTTGGTATGGCCAGGAGGAGCCTCGTGGTGCCGCAGGTCTTAATGATGATCTTGTGGGGATAGATGAAGAGGCTGGACTCTGAGAGGACGTAAGAGTCAAAGCTCTGGTTCGAGAGCTGGGAGACGATGGTGCACTGGGCGGCCTCCAGGATGAAGTCAATCTGAGCTCTTGAGAGGGCACGTAGGCCCCGGGTTTCTGGGTCAGCAGAGGTGGAAGCAGGGAAGAAGGTGATCTCAAGGCGCTTCTCATATCCCTCAAATCCGATCGAGGAGGGAAGACCAGGGCATTGGGTCTCGCCGCCCAGAAGGGTCGCCATTGCTCCAAAGGAATAGGAGAAAGGGAGAGAGAAGAGAGAGTGTGGGGAAACAATGAAGCAGCTAGGTGAGGGATTTATTTCCGCGGTGGAGAATTCAGAGGGGAGGTGACAGTGGGGCTAAGCTACTGAAGAAGAGGGCATCCCCGGGGGCAATATCAGGATGGTTTCCTCATACACTGCAACGGAAGGAACAATCCAGGTGGTGAGAATTCAGACAGCATTATATGGCATAAAAAGGATGAAATCCAGGTAGCTGGGTCTCTAATCCGTACGTTGGAGTAGGCGGCGGAATGGAACTTCTTGATTCCTCCATTGGGTCGGACATCTTCGATGCTGTATCCGAGGGGAACTTCATACTCTAGGGAACTCATACTGCTAGATTTCTTTTTGCCACCTTTGGACTCCATTAGAACATCAATTTTTCCTGAATTGCAGTGCAAAGAAATTCATGGCGATTAGTGGCATACCAAGGCAGACAGGATTATAAACGGTTCATACTCAGCCATTAGCAAACTTGTGGAAGAACATCAACGAGTAGTCAACGGCATTGTGTCCATTAAAACAAGTAGCTAGATTCTACTTTAGATAAATCAAGCAGGATCAAAGGAAACCGACGACATGATTCCAAATCAATGGGAAAGAACAAAATAATTAGGTCACTTTCCCACCTTGCAGGCATATTAACCCAAAATAATACAAAAGATTAAGAGTAGGCGCCACATCATTTCACAGAATTTTCAGAAAAAGCAGATCCTGCTAGTCATCGCCATTGTTCGTGTGAAGAAAAAAGATTGTAGGGGAAACGAAGATAACACGAAATCTCATTAAAAAATACTGGACAAAGAGAATCACGGCAGAAATTTATAAGTGATTTCGCCCAAAAAATCAAGTACAACGCAGCATGAAACGTATTAACCAAGATTTAGATTACATCTAAGAACATCGAAAGCCGAAACCACCGAAAGCGGAGGGCGAATTGAAGATTTATTCTCTCCCTAATTACAAAAACGGATGCATCCAAAAGGGAGCAAGTTGAAAACCGACAAAATCAGCCAAGCGAGCGGAAGAATTTTACAAAGACAAAAAGCATTCACAGTAAACAAGTTCATCAGGAGAAAGAACCAAGACAAACTACGGCATAGAAGAGAAGAACCAAATACGCGAAAACGTGAGCGGCAAATGGCTCAGTGAATACCTCCGCAGAAGAAAAAAACCGGCGCGCTCCTCTTCCGCCCGAGAGGAACGCCAAGTACCAGCACGAACACGGAGCAATCGAGAACAGAAAACGGAAAGAATGGCAGATCAGAGGAGAAAGGGGAAACGAAACCCCGACTCCTACGTTCGCAGGCGCGCGCGATCTGCGGCGTACCGCTGAGAGAAGGAACGACGATCTCCGCGGTCCACGCTGCGGCGCTTCTCCTCTGCTGCTTCTCTTCCCTCCTCTCTCCGTCGCCCCTCGAGAAGTCCTGGTCCAGATTCATCCGCCCTCCCAATTATATGCAAAACTTGTGTGGACGACGAAGAGGCAACGGCCTTGTCAGACCATAACCCGGTCCGGTCCGGCTGAGTCGACCCGGCTTGGATCCCACGGGCCAAATATCGGCCTGGCCCGAAAGCCCGAATATTGATCGACAGGTCTGTCACCTGGACTCTTCTCAGGCTCAGTTCCGTATAAGCCCACCGGGCCTGACCCGCCTCCGGTTCCGACTCGGCTTCCGAGTGAGCGGACGATCCGCGATCCGCGATCCGCTCCTCTCCTCTAGATCAGATCGGCCGGTCAAACAAACGACTTCGTGCGTGCATACGTTCCTGTGTCAAAAGAGACGTGACTGACGTGTCGGGCATATCCTGAGACGTGGCAGATTGTCGTGGGTAGTGACGTGGACTTGGAAGATAAGTTCAATAATATAATTCCGACAGTCTGGACTGCACTACGAAGACAAGGAAGCTCTGACTTCTCTGACCGTTGACGGCGACGGCCGTTCCGCCGCCAACTTCCTTCTCTCCGTCGTTCGGCGCCGCTGCCGCCGTCATGGGCGAGTGGACGTTGACGATGACTTCACCGGTTGGCCAATTACCAATGGAATCAAGCCACATGCGTAATGTGGGGCCCACAGCTTCCTTCCCAGGTGGGCCCCATAATACGTTCCACCGGAGATCCAATGGAAACACAACCTTAGTAAGGCAACTTTTGCAAAAAAAACCTTCGCTTTATTAAGTGAATGTTTTTATACTTATCTTAAGGAATATTTGTTTTTTACTTCTTAGACACGTCATCTCACGCTACATGTGGGGAAAACTACTAAGAGACCTTATTACGTTTGCATTAAAATAATCCTAATAAAATGGCTTATTTAAATAAATAAATAATATATATATATATATATATTTGGATATTTATACCATATGTACTATTTTTAAGGTCGTAGAAAAATATTAGCTTTATTTAGATATTATTTGTGAATTAAAAAGGGTTTTTTTTTCTCAAAAATCCGTGCTTCCGTGGGGGGTTGGGGGAATTGGCTGAAAGTCTCTCAGGCGGAGCTAACCTTTGGAATCAATCCGTCTTCCCGCCGCCCGGGGAAATCGGAGGGGGGGAAGCGACGAGAGATTTCATGTGGTTCTGAATTCCTTTTGCAAATGGCCAATCGCTCCTCTTCTGCCTTGCCGATCCTCTGCGCTTCCTTCAACCAAGATAACAGGTCAACGATCACCCTCCCCAGAGTCCCTGTAATTTAGGGTTTGATGATCTTGTGCTTGGAATCTGTATGGTTCTTTATCGTCTGTCTCGTTTAACTCGGTATTTGATTGTTCTCTGCAGCTGTTTCGCCATTGGAACCAGAGATGGATTCAGGATATACGATGCCCAGACGGGAAGGTTATGCTACGAGAGATGTGAGATATTTCAGGACAGACCTCTTGTGGTGATCATGCTCGTCAGACCTTGGTCCTACCTGGTCATGAAAGTCTGATGGGTTATTTGAATTCCTACAGCCATTGGTGCATTCAGCATCGTGGAGATGCTGTTCACATCGAGCCTTCTCGCAATCGTCGGAGCGGGGGAGCAGGTGGTGGCTCAGTTCCAACGTTTTGGGTTGTGTATTGACTTTTGAGGTGTTTATTTTTTGGCATATTTTGATCTTCATGTGTGTTCAGCCTTCACTGTCTCCGCGCCGTCTCTGCCTCTTCAACTCTACAACTGGAACAACCCTCAGGGAGCTGAACTTCTTGACCTCTATCCTGGCGATTCGTCTGAGCAGGAAGAGGTAATCTTCAATTGGCAATTCGTCTTCAATGTTTGCCAAATGGCTCTAAGTTATTTTATCTTTCTTATTATGATGATAAAGTACGATTAGGAAAACAACAGGGATGCTTTCAATGATACTTGCTAAAGAAGTCTTGCTCACGTATGTTCTTTGTTAACTAACGGGTCTTGTGGAGCTTTAAGATATGACGATTTGCTCAACCGATGGACCATGTCTAAAGACCCAATATCTTCATGTTTTCATATTCCTTTTCATTGTTGTCATAGTGATTTTTTATTTTTTGTGCAGGCTTATTGTTGTATTACAGGAAAAGACGTACATTTATGATTTAAATAGCCTTGCGATCTTGGATACTATAGAGACGGTGCCCAATTTAAAAGGTTAGAATCGAAACCTTTGTCCTTTATTTCTTAGAGAGCACCAGATCTTCTGCTAGCCTAATTTTATCTGATCCCAATTTATGGCATTTACTTCCTTAAACTTTAGTGATTGTGAATATATTTGCGCGAAAAGAACAATGAGGTCTGCTCAAGATGGCTATCAGACTAACATTCCACCATTGTTTTGCCTCCCATGCTGTCTGTGTTACATCCCTCAGAATGGCACATCTCATTCTTTATTTTCTATTATAATCATTTTTACTTAGTTGACATTCTGTTCTTCATTTTTTGGACATGTTTTTCCCTTCATATGGAAAATAAAATGCGGATCGCAATTTTGATTACTAAGAACTATTTTGGCAACATTTTTTCAGGACTTTGCGCATTTGCCCCTAATTCGGATGGTTGCTATCTGGCTCTACCGGCAAGTAAAACCAAGGGATCTGTCTTAGTCTACAACACTATGGAACTCTTTTCATTCTGTCAGGTTGTGTATACTTTCCCAGACCTTATCAATGATCATATTCTCCGCATATATGCTCCTGTATATGATATAAATATCAATAATTGGCAGATCCATTTATCTTCATTGTGATTCTAAGTAAACATGTTTAGTTAACAACCAATTCGTGTGAATCTTCTCCCCAAATCGGTAATGTACGTCTCCAATGCAATCGAGGTGATCAATCATAGCAAGTTATGCATCAAGTCCTGTCTTGATGAATGTGTTCTTCTCTCTTTTCCCTAATAGAAGCTGCGGTTGAAAAACCTATGGTAATCTGGGAGAATCGAAAACTTAAAAAAATAATGGGAGGTCATTCATCTAGATCAATGTCGCTCATATATCAAATTTCATGTTGGGCAATGTGAACGTCAAACTCTTTACATTTTATAGCGATTTTTGGTTCGCCAACTGACTTCAGCTATTTCCACAGATAGATGCACACCAGAAACCCTTAGCTGCGATTGCATTTTCTCCCAATGGCATGTACATGGCCACTGCTTCTGATCAGGGAACAATCATCAGAGTTCATCTGGTTTTGCAAGCGACAAAGGTGAATCGGTGAATCCCTTGCAAGTGCAGCTTGTAATCGTCCTGAGATATTTCACTTCAAGCATCTTCACCTCATTTACAAGGAATGTCAATTGATTGTAGTGCAAGTATTTGATAGAATAAAAGCTATTAGCTTGTCTTTCCTCCAAATTCTAGGTACTTTCATTGCATGCATCTGACTAGTCTTTTACTATCAGTCTTATTGCTTCAGGAGAGGGACGTATCCATCAGTGATATATTCACTTTCTTTTGGCCCATCCATGGATGCTCCGGACGTTCTTGTGGCCACAAGTTCCTCAGGCTCCATACATGTTTTCTCCCTTGAGTCAATGCTCAATCAAAGGTGAGTCTCATATTTTTTATCATAATATTAATATATTTCCTATGAGTGTTTTACATATTTGACATTCTACTTGCATTCACTACTGTCTATTGACTGGATTAATCAAATTATACCAAAGTTCGAAGCACCTGTAGTCTAAGTTTTTATCATAATATTATTATATTTCCTATGAGTGTTTTTACTTATTTGACATACTACTTGCATTCACTACTGTCTATTGAATGGATTAATCAAATTATACCAAAGTTCGAAGCACCTGTAGTCTAAGTTTTTGTTGGTTTTAACCTCTGTTTCCTGGAAACAGCAAACCCACTAGTTTGCTTGGATCGGTGATTCCAGACTCGATAAATGATGCATTGGAATCCTCGCATCATCATGTTATTCACAAGACCGTTCCTCAGGGAGTCAAAAGGTGATTATCATTTTCTGTTGTTTCTTCCTCATAATTAGGGATATCAAAGGGGTAGGTTAGCCTGCCTTATCTCCGTGAAGTTTTTCTGTGCTGGTCCATTTTCCTTGCCACACGGCTGACCCAAGAGCACCCATGTGTCAGTTTTCTCTCTGTCTGTCTGTCTCTGTCTGTCTCTGTCTCTGTCTCTGTTTGTCTCTCTGTCTCTCTCTGTCTGTGTCTCTGTCTGTATGTCTGTCTGTCTGTCTCTCTCTCTCTCTCTCTCTCTCTCTCTCTCTCTCTCTCTCACACACACACACACACACACACTCAGAGTCAAATCCATGAGTGCCTATGGAATGCTAATGTTTCACCCTAAAGTTCATTTTGTGCTCTGGGTCTGCCTCTCAGATCAGCACTCCTTGATAAGATACCCGCTAGATTTTGCCATGCTATTTATCTCTGATACTAACATAATTTCTGATTTTCAATCTCACTCCGCAGTCACATAGTCGTCCAGAGAGTAGACAAAGCAGCAGGCCCAGCAGCTCCAATATCTCCATCTTCCGCCATTCGGTAGAACTTGCATGCAACTCTGAGGCAATTTCTGACTTTCTGAGGCCGAATGGACGCTGATCTGCTCCCTTCGATCTCGCAGGTCATCTGTTTTCCTCCTTGATCAAGGTGGGCATTTCCGTGAGTTCTCCATTAACATCTCCAGCTCGAAAGATCTGTCGTGGAGCTTGGAAAGGGAGTCCAATCTGTTCATGTGAGGCCTGGGAGATTCACTGTTCATGTGAAGGCGAAGGTCTTCAGATTCTTCCCCTAGATCTTGCGACTGGCACCAAAAGTCAACTCAATCAATCTTCAGGGATCAAGATACCTGATGAAAGTTGCAGTTTTTTTATATACTGCTTTAGTTTAGAGGATTTATTTAGGGCCCATTGTGTGTATATAAATATTTCCAAGGTGTTGCCATAATCTGCATATTGATCTGTATAAGTTCTGTTGAGACCCATGATCGTCAGTACGTACGCCTGGAGCAGCCCAAATTTTTCTGGGCTTGGCTTCAAAATCAAGCATGGGATGGAAACCCCATGCTTTTGGATCGAAGTACTTTGAGCTTAGTTTCTCGTTCTGCCTCTAGGCTAAGGTCTTCATCTTGTAAGGGTGAAGCTTTAGAAATACTCGGCCACCAACTTCAAAATTTCATGTCGCGCCAATACTAATCAAAGTTCTTTTTCACGTACGCTTGTGTTCGAGTCCAGTGGCTCTTCAGCAGTTCCAAGCTAGCACCCCAATCCACTAGCATGCAGTCCACATCATCCAAGGGGGATCGGAGGCTCTCTCTCCCATACATTGCTTAGAATGGTGATGTCTTGATCATCCGGTGGAACGACGTGTTATAACTCAACTCGGCCTAGTGCAGATGCTCGTTCTAACTCTTTGATGTGTTCCTTGTGAAGTAATGTAAATAATTCTCCAAGCTCTAGTTGACGACTCCCTTGGTTGGTGACAATGGATAATGAAAAACAATGCAAGTGCACAATGTATCGAACGAAGATAAGGGCCACATCTACTGTTGAAAATAGATACTTCAGGGAAGATGAGTGGTTGTACTTGCTAAGACAGTCCACGACCACTAGGATCGAATCAAGGCCTTCTATAAGATGATTAAATATACTTCTCATAATCGATTCGGGATGAGTAGTGGTTGAAGAAGATACGTTAGAGAGAGAGAGAGAGAGAGAGAGAGAGAGAGAGAGAGAGAGAGAGAGCTGGACTTGAAATGGAGGCAAGTTAGGCATTGGTTAATATGCATCTTAATGTCGCATTTCATTATGGACTAATAAAACTATTGTGAGATGTGATGATAGGTTTTTAAAAACCTGCTGCGCCTCTCGAGGGTTTCGTCATGAAATTCTTTGAACAATTTAGGAATGATTATGGACGAATATGGTAGAGCCAATTGGTCCTTGAACATCAACAATCTATTGTGGAATGTACACCGCTGATCATTAGAAGCTCTCCCTTAGATCTCTTGGATAACCTTGGCCAGCTTAGAGTTAGCCTGCGCTTCTGGTTGCATTATCTCTAAGTCCAACCACATAGAAGCATACATAGCATACAATACCACCTCCTCTTGGGCCGGCAGTTGAGACAATGTATCTATCACTAAAGTTTGGTGCCCTTCCTTATAGTAGATTGCGAACGAAGAGTAACCCATAACCTTGGCAATCTATTAGTGATACGTTGCATGCACCTCCTTCTACTCAATCTTTGTATATTAAGTTGTATTGATTTGTCCAGATAATAAAGGTCTGAAAGATCAAGTAGTGCTTCCATTTTTGGATGGCCATAATGATGGCCATCAGTTCCCACTCATAAGCCGATTGGGTGCGGGCAATGGGAGGAAGAACCTTATTGTAAAAAGGCATGGGATGCCCTTGTTGCCTCAGAACCCTATCAGCCCCAACACCAGAAGCATTCATCTCAAGAATAAAAGGTTGAGTGAAATCAGGGAGTACCAATACCGTAGTCAAATATAGGGCCTACTTCAATTCGTAGAAAACATGTTGACCTATTCCTGACCATGTAAAATCATCTTCCTTTAGGAGTTGAGTGAGTGTCCAAGCTATTTTTGTGTAGCTCTCCACAAAGCACTTATAATAACCAATCAATTAGGTCAATGTGGGCTCAGCTCGACTTCGTACAGCTCGACGTGAATGTCTTCCTGAAGTGCATTGATGAACGCCATTTTGAGCACCTCCCGGTCCATTTGGGCTAGGAAGCCCCCCCCCCCTACCTCCTTGAACTAAATGATTAACTCCTCAACCGTACCCATCTGCTTCAGAGCCATCAACTGGCTCAGGGGGGCATTCATGGAGAGACCAAATCATTCGGAGAGTTGCTGGGTGAAGTCATGCCACCCAGTGAATCCTTCAATGTGTCTCAAATAATTGAGCCACGAGATGGGTCATGATGAGATGCAGTCAATCTCGTTCCTCGATGGATTTGAGCTTAAAGAATTGGTCAGCTTGCATGAGCCACCACTCAAGGTCGCCTCCCGAGAATACGAACAACTCTCCCTTGCGGTGTAGGCGTGCTTCACGTTGGGGTTTGTCAGGGCCAGTATTGTGCTCACTGTCTTAATTCTCCCCATAAGCTCTCTGATGTTCCTCCTAATGCACATCCCTCATCGGTGGTGCCTTGGTAAAAGGTCCGATGTGATGGAAGGCACGTGTTCTTCAGCACTATGACCCCGTCCACGGCCCCCTGCTTGGTCGTTGTGGAGATGCGGCGAGCACGGGGAGCAACGATCTTCCTAGCCTTGGACCCGCACCACAGGAGGAGGGCCCTCCTCTTGCTCAAGCAGCCTCTGGACCGGTGTTAGGCGAGGAACTCAGGGCAGAAGTGGGTTGTAGTCCAGCTGGGGCAAGAGGGGCCCATATCTGCATTAGGATTACAAGTGGTAACCCCTCCCATATTGGGACCAATTTGCCTGCCCGCCGCCCAGAAGCGGTTACGCCGCAATGAGGAAGGCTGGCCGATAAAACCCTCGGGTATGGAGAGGTTGGAGGTGCTCGGGAAGACGTCCCATCGGATATGGTGTCATAATCATCTGGTATGGACTGGTATGGCGGCGCTCGGGAAGACGTCCCATTGGTTATGGCCAACGCCTACCCGCATGGCGGCTACCGGGGCAGCAGCGGGGGTAGCTGTGCCAAGATGGGCAGAGGGAGAAGGGCCGGGGAGGGGCGGGGTTGCGACGGGTCTTCGGACTTCGAGACCTTGGACCGATGGTGCTCGAAGTGGCGTGTGGTCAATTTGGACGTCGAGGTTGGAGGTGCTGCCAGAGTGCGATGAGCGACTCTTGGAGGATCCTCGAGATACAGCGGTGGAGATGGCCAGCATGGCGAGGGAGGCTTGGACGTCGGCGAGCTGGGGGGCAACCACCTAGACTACAGCTGAGGTCGTGGCTTGGGCGGCGGCGACATGGTCTGCCGTGACTTGGGCTGTGGCCGTGGCTTAGGCAGCGGTGAATTGGTCTGCCACCAGGTCCCAGATCATGTCTTTGATCTTGGTGGCAGACTGATCCATGAGGGCAGCTTTGGAGCGTGTGATCATGCAACGATGGTGGTGGGAGGATGGCTCTGATTCCATAATGATGGAATCCCGAGGGACTTCACTGAGAGTCTGGACAGTTTCTCAACAAAAGAGAGGGGAGAGGGATGAGGGAGGAAAGAAGGGTATCAAGATGGACCATGCTCAAGGCACATCTTGGTAATGTGCTTATGCATTATGCTTCAACTGCTTGTGTTATGCATTCCTTGCACCCACACGTCTACACTTGCTATTGTACGGCACTATGCCAATGGCTAGTGTGATCTGTAAGGGCCTCACCCCACACCAATAGAGTTCACCACCTATGCCACAGATGTATGTGTGCCTTTTATGTGCTACAACATGTATGCCATGTCATACCATGTATGTCGAGGGCCCAAAACATGAACCTCACTCACTTTAGTGATGTTGGAGACGTGATATCTTGGCCCACATACTAAATTCAATGTCCTCATCAGAGCTTGAACTCAAAGGTATCTCTTGATGATATATGTGAATGGCTAGAGGTTGACTTCATGTTATCACTTTTGATGCCATTGATGTAAATGATTACAAACTGAAAACTTGTTATTTAATTAAAATTTTAGATTGGGCAAAAATGAAAATAAGTTTTAATTTATATATTGAACCTATAATTGATTTTAATTTAATATATTTATATTAATAACATATTTAATTCTTAGTCTAATTATTATAATTTTAGTTCCAACATTTAAATTCAAGACTTTCAGTCTTGTGAATAAGTTTTTTCTATTTCAGAGAATTATTAATTGAAAAAAAGATCTATAAATAAAAGGACTTGACCCGGGCCTCGGACCAGTGTGGAGGTGAGATGAGCTGCCACGTGGAATATTCGGAATCTACGAGAAGCGGCGGCCCCGACGAACAATTACTTTACTTGTCCTCAGCGGAGAAGGTGGGGTTTTGGCGGAGCAAAAGAGGAATGGGTGCGGGTCGAGGGGCAGTTTCTGCTCTCATCTCCTGGTCCTCCTCCTCCTCCCTCATCCACCACCCCTTCGTCCTCTCCCCGCACCTCACCTTCCGGCCACTTCTCCCCCTCCGGCACCTCCGTGGCAGAGGGGCCTCGGTGAGGATGGCGTCAGATAGCGGCGCCCCCCAGAAGGAGTGCTCCGCCGCGGCCGCCGCCTCATCCCTGGGAACTTCCTCCGCCCCCGCGGGTTCGATGTCCTCGGCGTCGTCCGCATCTTCCTCCGCCGTCGATTTCCTGACGCTCTGCCACCGGCTCAAGGTCAGGTCGTCCTTCTCTTTCTCTGTCTCGAGCCTTCTATCTCGGTATGTGGCCCTAAGATGGGACTGACTGGGAGGAAATGGTGGCGCAGACCACGAAAAGGGCAGGGTGGGTGATTCGGGGAGTGCGGGATCCCGAGTCCGTGGCGGATCACATGTACCGGATGAGCGTCATGGCACTCATCTCTGCGGAGCTCCCTGGTGTGGATCGGGAAAGGTTAGGGTCCTGTCGTCTGTTCTGCTCTTTTCTGGTTTCAGATTGAGTCGAAATTTTTCTGTCGGTATCTTGAGGCAATGTAGTTGCTGCACTATTTCTTTTGAGTTTGTATTAATGAACTGGGTATAGTATCCTTCCCGTAGTTCTCTTCCCGTACATTTTTGGTGAATTTTGATTGTCTATTTGATGATTTTGCAGGTGCATTAAAATGGCCATTGTGCATGACATTGCTGAAGGTGTGTGCTGCGTTTGAACGTGGCCTTCAAAGCCGTGGCCTTAAAAGCCATGGACTTTCTTTAGGAAATTTCCCGCCTTCCTCTCTTGTGCACGGTGGAATGGATTCACTATAGTTTATGCATTTTAAACATTTTCATTATAGTGTAAATGGGATTTGATAGATGTCTATCGAGGAAAAGATTAAAGGAACCCCATAATATAGTTTTAGAACCAGAAAATTGTTTTTTCTACATTAAATTGTATCTCTATAGCTATTTTTTTTCGATTTCGACGTTTTCTTTTAATTTCGATTTTTTGTGTATTTGAGATATTTTATCTCTTATCATTTTCTTAATCCACCTATCACAATGGATTCCTCATTCCACTTCTACGTTCTTCTCCTCATACTCCACTTCTCCACACCCTCTTTTGTGCTTAAAACTATGAGATGCCTTCTATTTCTCTTGAGTGCCCAATTTCTCTGACACATGTTTACAGTTCCTTTTTCCAATAATGAAAATAGTGAGTGTTATGGGTTTGGCAAATCCCTAAGATGGTATATTGTATATGCTGATTCGACCAATGCATCTAGATTTATGCTGTAACAAATGGTGTCGGAACGTGGTAAGCAGCTGGGCGATAGAAAGTTTATTCATACTTTTTAAGGATTTGGACCCTCAAATCCTAGACAATCCTAAATTAATAGCCTCGCTTGATCACGGCAATGTTCCTATGTGATGTGCAGTATTCATGTGTTCCTTCTGTTTGCCCACTGAATATGGAAATGCCGCTCTTTTCTCTGTCCACTATGAGTGATTATCTAATTTGCAAGCTCAATGCATGTAATTGAGATGATACTTTGGGAAATGTATTAAATGTTTCGTGGAACTCTCTCTGTTTCTAGCCATTGTTGGTGACATCACCCCTTCAGATGGTGTGCCCAAATTGGAAAAGAGTCGACGTGAACGAGAAGCACTTGATCACATGTGCACATTACTTGGTGATCGCTCAAGAGGTAAATTAAGCTTTCTTCTCTTGCCCTTTCCTATGGCATATAATTTAAAATTTTTAGCTGAATTTCTTACTTTTAAAAAATTGTGATAATTAGATATTAAAAAGAAGGATGTATCTTTTTTCTTTTGACCTTTTCTGGGCATTGGCTTCTACGTATCAATTTATGTACTTCCATCTATTTCTGATTAAATACTTTTGGTACCCGTCCTGACCGAAAACAAGAAAATAAAAAGCTATGGTGATTCTTTGCAGTCCTATTGGCAGTCATTGAGATTTAACTAATTCCCATTTTGTAGCAAAGGAAATTCATGAGCTATGGATGGAATATGAGGAGAACTCGTCCTTAGAAGCGAAGCTTGTGAAGGACTTTGACAAGGTATGATTATGTCAAACCTCTCGTTCGTTCGCAGTCTCTTGTACTTTTATTATTATTATTGTTATTATTTCTGTAGTCATGCTGAACTAGTTCTTCATTTTTTATACGTCAAGATATCATTTTATTTCCCTAACTTAAATCGGAGTGTCTGTAATCCGTGTAGTAGAGAAAGTGAGGGTGTGTCAAAAGTACTGATGAGACAACCAAAAAAGAAAAAAAAAATTATTCTGAGAAATTCTGTGTAGTCGCCTCCCGTTCAACAGAAAGCTCTGTCAGAAAGTCAGATCATTTCATGCAACTGAAATAAATGGCATGGATGAAAAGAACGACTTTTGGTACTAACCCAATAAAGTAATTATCCATGCACGCATCCCAAAGTGCTTACATGCCCCCTCATACTCTCCCCAGCTGTTTGATCGACCCAATATTTGCAAAGTGCTTCTATCAATGAATGCTATTATGCAAAGTCAAGATATATATATATATATATATATATTATTGCTCAACTTACTGTCATTTTCGACTGATGTTAATATGAGAATATCCCGAACAGAAATTATTCTCATGTGAAGTGGTGTAGTTATGTGGTCATCCCTTCCGCTGTCTCCCACTTTTTTGGAACTTTATTTGCTTTTTTTTTTCATACTTTCCTGACAAATAATTCATGACAATTGATCTATTCCTTATATCATGTCTAAGTTTCTAATTGATATCCTTCTCGTGCATTTTTTCTTTCCAGGTCGAAATGATTCTTCAAGCATTAGAGTATGAAACTGGTATGCACTCATTTATGTCAACGGTTTGCCCTTTGACTCTGTGGCGCGTGATCTCAACCCTTCATTCATCCCATGATTCTACAACTTTTATAGTCAAGTGATCATTTGCACGAGCTAGAACATGTTTTATTGGCTTGTTTATCATTTTCCAGATTTGATTAGGATGATCAGATATTTCCGGTGAAAAGAAATATAGATCGAGGAGAATCTAAACCATGCAACGTCTTGTGTTCTTATCGTTTTCTTCTCTAAATTCCTATTAACAATGAATGAGTTCATATGTTGCAGTCTCAAGATAAAAGCTTGGCTTTTTTCGCATTATTTTTTTGTTGATCTCTGCTGAAATCTGGAAGTATTATCTAATCATGCAGAACAAGGGAAAGACTTGGAGGAATTCTTCCAGTCAACTTCAGGTATGTCGATCTGAAGTTCACCTGTAATATCCATCCATGTGGGGATGCTGATTCATCCCTTTATCTCTCTCTCTCTCTATATCTGTTGCAGGCAAGTTTCAGACTGAGCTGGGCAAAGCCTGGGCGTCAGAGATTGCATCAAGGAGAAGGAAGAAGGAATAAGGGAGCGTAGTGGGGCCGATGTAGCATCGCCACGTCATCGTCTCCCCGAGATTTGGTTCCGATCTCTGGATCTTTTTGTGGGCCTCGGCCTCGGCCCAGTGAATGGTGGTCGATCGGTCAGATGAATTAGTAATTGCTGATCGTTTTGCCCAGCTTGATCGGCCAGATGATGATCATGGTCAGCCGTTTGGTCTGGTTTTGCCCAACTGGTCGGCCGAGATTACCCAAGCCCAGACGTGAAACCGAGAGAGAGAGAGAGAGAGTTTGACTTACTTTGCTTACTGGGCTTCTGGCTCTTTGGCCGGCCTTTTGGGGGGTTGGGCTTGGAGGTCCATCCTTGGATGTGTGTGTGTGTGTGCGTGTGTGTGAGGGAGAGAGAGAGAGAGAGAGAGAGGAGGAAGGGAGGAGGGAGAGGGGAGAGATGTCAAGAGGAGAGAGAGGGAGGGAGGGAGGAGAGAGAGGGGAGAGAGAGATGAGGAAGAGGAAAGAGGGAGAGGGAGAGGAAGAGGGAGACGGAGAGGGAGAGAGGCAAACTACTAAAAATTAGAAAATTGTCCCTCTGTTTGCAATTCATTAATGGAAAGCGGGGTAACCATTCTTAAGAATGATTCATATCTACTCTCTCTATATAGTTTACGATAAGTTTCCTTATAACCGTACAAAAATAAAAATTAGAAACGTATCCCGTTGTCGGAATTTCATGAATGGAAAGCGAAACTGAAAATGCATTCTAAGATGGCCGTTGGGAAAACACCGGTGGGTGGTTACGCCAACCGCAGCCTGAACTCTGATGGTTTCCCTCCATCCCCACCTTCGAAATCTCTCTGCTCTGCTTCTCAGAGACCCTCTTCCCGGGAGAATGAAGCCCGCGTCCTCTCTCTCCCTGGTCCTCCTACTCTACAATCTTCCATGGAGTCTCCTCGCTTCCACCCCTTCACCGTCTCCCGCCCCCGAAGGTGTGAACAATTCTCCGGTCGTGGCAACTTCTTGCGAGTATTTTCTCTGATCTGACCTCTGGATTTCACTGAAGCTTCAGGGGATCTTCCCCTGCCTGGATTCTCGGTCAGTTGGCTGGGCAATAGGAACGCATTTCAGGCCGGCGATGTCGCCACCATCGTGATCAGGGCCTTCGGGGAATCCCCCAACGGGACGGAGTTCATCAAAGGCGGCAGGTACGGGGCTAATTTTTCCCTCTCTGTGAATGGGAAGAAGGGGGATAGCTCGTATGTGTCCAGCGTTGTTTCGTGCACGGAAGGGGATCCCAATCATTGGAACATCACCTTCATCCCGATCCGGGCTGGGGATTTCGTGGCGGTCGTTACCGAAGAAAATTCTGGATTGGCAGATTCGTCGCTTCCCTACACTGTGACAACTGGTACGGGTCCTCGATCATATTGCTTCAGTTTCTGCCTCGATGGTTGGATAATGACTGTGCTCTAATGTCTGAAGGGGCTCTGTACCCGCCTGCTAGTGTTGCTTCATGGATGAATCTGGAAGACGAGTTTGTTGCCGGGGAGAAAGCCAGGATTCTAATACTCCCAAAAGATACATTCGGAAACAACATCTCGTCCATAACCGAGGAAGGCTCCTCTTCCACGTTTAAGCTATCCTCATCTAAAGAGGATGGTTCCGCAGCCCATTTGCTCAATTTCACGTACACCGGCTGGGACGGGTTGGGGCGTCTGGGAATCGAATTCGTTCCCATCACAGCCGGCAGTCTATCACTACATGTCGTGAGTGGAAACCAGAGTTTAACTGGCTCTCCTCTGTCATTCAGGGTGCGACCAGGTTAGTGCTTGCATCATATTATTCAGTGTCACTTATCATTAATATAGAGAAAAACAGAGCGTCGTTTTCGATTTTTGAGACTTTGTTTAATTTTTATTACGTTATCTTGATCTGAATCTCTTTATTTATATAATTCATTTTGTTCTTGTAACTCTTGATCTTCTCTTCATCACTTTTCTCATTTTACAGGTTCTTTAGACATCAAAATGTGTGAGGGAAAATGGAAATACGAGACAAATGCCATAAAAATATTTTCGAGACTTGAATTCTTAATTTATCAGCAAGACCAGTATGGAAATCTTGTGCCAGGTTTCTACCAATTTGATGCTGGAGTCGTCCAGAAGGAAACAAATTTATCTATCCCTATCGCAGATTTGTCCTTCCAGGAAACGGGAGGAGGAGTCCAGTTGCTCTCTTTCCTTGTCATTGAGCCAGGGAGCTTCATGCTCAGGGTCTTTGATGCTGAGAAAAATTGGAGTATTTCTAACACTTCCTATGAGTATTTCGTCTTCGTTGGTAGGTGAATAGAAATCCACAGAAATCTCTAAAATAATTCTACTTATTAAAGAAAACTCTCAATTCTTAAATAAATTGTCTCAAAAGAGTTTCCTGCTGAATTATTCTTTCCTTTCAATTTCCCATATTTTTTTCCTCGTAGAAATAATTTTTTTTAGGGTTTTCCCATGATTAACTCAGTACAGGTATATTCAGTCAGACATTGTCCACTTCATAACATTTTTTTTCTTTGCTTCCTGTTCCTATCTAGGCTACTGCGACGGTGTAAACAGTGTTGTTAATGGGTCTGGCTTAATCAGTTCAGTCGCTGGCCGAATGTCATACTTTTCTGTTTATTTAGAAGATATGTTCCATAATCCTTCCCCAGTTGAAGCAAGAATTCTCACTGTGAAGATTCTACGAAAAAATGACTCTACAAGTATAAGACCAGCGATCTTTCCGCAGAGGGACTTTCAAGGTACCTTCTCCTATATTAAACACGTTCAATGGGAGCACCTTACTAAACTGTATGGATTCATCAAACAGGAGGCAAACCAGTTTCTGAAAACAATGACCATCCTCAAGGAGATGGAGGAGCTGCTCCGTTTTCTAGTGATCAAGGTGGCACTGCGAGGATTCTGTTTTCTCTGGTATCTTTTTTAATGGTTTGCCTTTTGGCTACTCTGAATCAAGTATTCTGCAGGATCCACAACTGAAAGCAGTGCTTTTAATGTTATTTATGTACCTGAGAAGTCTGGAAGCTACGACATATGGATCTTCTGTGGTAATATTCCACTAAATGGTGGCCATGCATATACATCCAATGCAACGCCAGGTACACTTGTCTGGTGCTAAATTAGAGTTAATTTTAATATTATTTATATTAATATTTTCTTATCTGATGTATGGCGCCATGTATACAGGTACATCCCTTTCTGAGCAGGAATTTGTCATAACGAGCTTTCACAACTCTATTCTGATTCCGGGTACCGCCATTATGTCTAGGTATGGTTGACTCTTCAAAGTCAACTGTGGTCAAATTTGGTCCAAGAACAAGGGAGCTTGTAAGGAATGACGTAAAGGTGCAACTTCTAGATTCATTCAGCAATCCTATCACGTCACAGGAAGCAAAACTGAGTTTTAACCTCGTTAATAGTTCAAGTTTCTTGAGATGGAATTTTTCAGACCTTGGAGGGGGGCTTTATGTTGGTCACTATACAGCTCGAGATCTTGGGACCTACAACATATGCGTTTCATATGAGAATTCTCAGTTATCTCCTTGTCCTTTGGTGGTTAATGTTTACAACAGTAAGTCATAATCCTGACCTTCTAGTCTTGATTTCCACTTCGAAACTCACAACAGACCGAGGTTGGCTCCTAGGTTTAGCCTTAGTAGCATACCTGTTAGGAAGATACGGCAATTAAATTAGTATGAATTTAATTTTTTATAAAACAAGAAACTCAGGTAAAAAAAATCATTAAGAGAGTAATTCAACAGACCCTGCGGTTGAGAATGGTTTGAATTTTTTATCACACGAAGAACCTTATGCATGTTGTGATTTTTTACGTTATATAGAAATTTTCAAACGGTCGCACCGCTAAATTGATGATAATTCTCAGAAATTAACTATTTTATTGATCGCTGCTATTATTTATTAACTTCTTAACATGTAATGCAGGTGAATATTTCCCTGATGCTAAAAATGACAGCATATCTGTTTGGGAGGATGAATCAGTCGCCTTTGATGCTACAAGGAATGATTATTTTTCAGGGAATCAACTCCGAGTTACCTATTCGTTAATGGTAATTGAAAAATCTTAGATAGTTACTTCTCAGTTGACGGTGTTTTTTTTTTTCCTGAATTCCTTGACATCCGAATTTTAATTATGCCAACTTTATATCTTCAGTCTATCTTTTCATTTTTCCTGGCCATCTGCACTTTAATGTACTCAAAATTTTCCATAATTTTAATTCATCCATGATGTTTTCTTAGACAATTTTTTTAAAAAATTCTGACCTATTTCTTGGGTTATCTTCGCAGCCAATGCATGGATCCCTCATACAGAAGGGACAACTGTTCAGATATACTCCTTACAAAGGGTTCTTTGGCGATGACTCCTTCTCTTACACCCTCTCTGATGCAAATGACAATGCTGCTACTGGCTCTGTTTCCATCTCTGTTCTCTGCAAGCCGCCTCAGTTCATCTCACTACCTTTCCAGCTTCAAGTAACTGAAGACGTGATTGGTCCCCGATTTGGGTAATTTTTCTTAGAAATTTCATAGGAAGTTAAATCATTAGGGTTCATCTCTCCCCTTTCAATTGAAGGGTTTTGATCCGGTACCCTCAGATTAGTGAAATCACGAAAGCTTTTGCAGTGGGTTTCACGGATTCGAAATCAAGCACTCAAATAAAATGGAGAACATTTCTGTCACCATTCGAGCAAAGTCTGGCAGCATCTTCCTCGCGCCGATGCCGATCCATCTGTGTCCGATGTTGGCAGGTGAAGTCAATGTTGCCAAAGGAGGTCAGACTGGGAGAGACCTAACCATATCGGGTAATGTTGATGCGGTCAACTCTGCTCTCGACTCGATTAAGTATCTCGGGTACACAGACAGCTCCCCAGAATTCACAGGAACAGTAACATTTTGACCTCCCACCAGCTGTGGGATTAGTGATTTTATCTTGTCTGAATTGATGTGCAGAGACGAAGACTTCTACGGGAGTGATGCCATCAGCTTGTCAGCTGTGAACAAAAATGGCGTGCGAGACGCCCGCGTGGCAGTCAGGGTCCGCCCGGTCAACGACCCTCCATTCATACGGGTTCCAAAATTTGTCATCTTGGAGAAAGAGCCCACAGAGGGTGTTCCGATTTTCGACCGGAGATCCAGCTCCCCCTTCGAGTTCTTCATCGGGGACCCTGATCTTCATAACTTCCCAGGTATTATTATTATTTCCCTCAATTTCATGCACAAAAAAAAAAAAATCAAGACAAAAGTTTTGGGAAGAACACTTCCGGTCAACCCCTTCCACAGAGAACAGGTCCCATTTTGTGGTCACGCTCTCTCTGGAACTGAGCGACGGAATCCTCATAGGCAGGCTCCCCGCTCATCTCATCGGCACAGTCGAGCTGAAGATCAAGAACAGCCACCAGTGGCAGCATCTTCAGGCCTTCGTCACCATCTCCAACCACTTCGTCATCAAGGGGAGGGCCATCAGATTTCGTGCGAGCGTCGACGACTGCAACGATGCGATCCGGAGGCTTCTCTACCAAGTGAGCTCCTCGCTCCAAGCTCTTCAATTTCTCCACAATGAGATGAATTAACTTCTTTTTAAGGAAGGAATCTCCTCCTTGCAGGGCACCGGCCGTGCGTCTGTTCTGACCATAAATGTCAACGACATGGGCAACTACGGCTGCTGCTCAGAATGTGGAGAGAGGATCTCAATCCCTCTGCAGGCAGAGGCCACCGTGAATCTGATCAGAAGGAGACCAGTCAACTCCATTTCTGCCCACTGTAAGTAGATGAATCCCTGTTGTCAACAAATTTGTTCATTATTTCGAGATAATTTCTGGGTCAAAGCAAAATCATCTGTTCTTCACCGATTTGATCGAAATCCATCGGTTCTTGGCTGGTCTCCCAGTGCTCGGCGCTGCAGTGGTCGTCGAGTTCATCACGCTGCTACTTCTCGGCGGCGCACTTCTCTTCTACATCTGCAAATGCACAAATCTTCTATACAGAGATAGAACACCACCTTCTGCAACAGATACCGCAGCGGGAAGTCTCCCCACGCCGAGGGTAGAACCCTAAACGCTAAAACCCAGATGTTCTAACCTTCAATCTTCTCAATAACACCATTCTGCAGAGGGGCGGGGGGGCGCCAGCAGAGACCTCGAAGCATTCCACCCAGCAGCGATGGACCCAGATTCATGGCGGATCTAACCTGCGTCGAAGGTACATTAATGCTCGATTCTACTCTGACCAAAACACGTACTTTTATTCTGATCTTCATCTCTTTTCTAATTCTGGCGATCCCCAAGATGGCGTGAAGTGGAGGCCGCCGGGAAGGGCAAGCCGTCCTTGCTGTCGCCTGGCAACTTCTCCCCTCTTTCCATTGAGGCTCCCTGGCCCGAACCATGAGACGACACGCCATCGTTCTAGTCTCTCCCTACTTTCTCTCTACTCTCTCTGTGTCTGTCTATCTCTCTACTCGACGGGGCCACAGCGATCCGGGGCACCATAAACAGGGGAGCTGGCATTTCATCAATAATGTTAGAAAGAGAAGGGAGGAGAAGACTGGACCACATTGATGAGAGAGACAGAGAAAGTTCTACTTATAGTAGTCATTTACTGTTCCTGCTTGCTTCTGAGGTGTCCCCCGAGCCCTTAACAGTGAGAAACCAGAAGCTCGTTCGGTCACGTCTGAGGTGAGAGGAGAGCGAGGGGGGGGTTCGGCGAGGATGAACAAGAAGGAGAATGGGGGGGAAGGGGGTCGCTGCCACCACTGGCTTCTTGGTCACGTCGAACAGGAGCTCTCTGAGGTATGGTTACTACAACAAGAGAGAGAGAGAGAGAGAGAGAGAGAGAGGAGATGTTTGGACTGTATGCAAGAACACGTGCGTGGTTACTCTTCCGGCGAGACTTTTCTCGTTTCTTAACTACTTATGTAGGCTGCGTGTGTGGACGTATACACGTTCATATTAATGCGTCTGTACAGAGATAGCGAGAGAGAGAGAGAGTGCGAGGGGGACGGAGACAACAAGCACGTCGATGGGTCCGTAGAACCATAACAAGAGGGGACTCCAAGACAGTGAAGGACATGACTGTCCAACACCCCTCGGACGACGACAGTTCACGATGCTCCGCAAGCTCTCTCTCTCTCTCTCTCTTTCTCTTTCTATCTATGAATACCTCTTTAAAGGAGAGCGACGGGTTGACCACTTGGGGCGAGAAGACCCCAGCAGGGAGCGAAACGTTAACTGTTGTCTGAAGGCAGTGGGTTAGCATGAACAGCACCCCCCCGAGTGCAGCTTTATGCAGACGGTTAGATACGCTATCTTTATACGTCGATAGATCATATATAGTAACTCACGCAATTCCGGGAGAGAGAGAGAGGAACGTAAGCGTCTTCCGTCTTCCGTCTCCGTTCCTACATATTCTCCCTTCCCCGTTCCCAGGGCACTCGGCACACCATGCCCTCAGTCTCCTTCCCCCTTCGCTCTCCATGCCCTCTTCTTTCTTCTCCAAGAGATCGCCGCTCAGAATGGTGGGGAACTGATTTATTGGCTCTCCTGGCTGCTTGCGAAGGATACCTGAAGAGAATTCAGAAGCTTCGAGCCTCCTGGTTCATCATTTACCGTCGGCGCTATCTCTACTGAGCTTCCCACCTCTCTCTCTCTCTCTCTCTCTCTCTCCCTACTCTTTCTTGATCTTGCAAGACTTGTTCTAGCCTAAACGACCGTCCCGGTCAACTCACGGCCCGTCTGAAGATGCAGTCTTCTACTCTCACTCTTGTGAGTCCTTCCACGTTTGGTCTCCTCATCTATCCCTCCTGAGCTTGCGTTGAAGAACTGGCGTTTTCAGCCTTCAGTCTTGTATCTTATCATTTAATTCGGCCTTCACTGCCACCCGCTTCATATTTAGCTTGTGTACTGCTTGGGTGTCAACAGGCCCAACCACAGAGAGAGAGAGAGAGAGAGAGAGAGAGAGCGGAGCTCAAGTCGGATATTCATGTGGGCAAGGATTTTAGCAAGGAATGACTAGAGTACAGCCGTAGTTCAACGCCTACGCTCCGCCCACACCTCCGCCTCCTCTCTCTCTCTCTCTCATAGAGACCAGATTATCTGTGTCCACCGATTTCACCACCGTCTTGAATCTAAACTATCGGCCGACCACGGCTCTCTTCCCTAACTAGACCTACCGGAGCTGGGCCACGGTGGGTCCACTCCAGCAATCCGCATGCGCGGCAGTCGAGAGAGATAGAGTAATAGTAATAATAGTAAGAATAGTAAGAATAATAATAGAGTAAACGGGCTCCAATTTTCGATTAAAGAGCCTTATGAAGGTCAAACCCAGGCTTGGCGGGATAGGAGGTCGGTGGGGATAGAGCAGGCTCGTCTTCTTGTGGCTGATTATTCCCTTTTTTGTCTTAAATCAGACAAGAGAAGCATGAGAAAATTGTTGGATTTAGTGCTAATTGTCACGGTGATTCTCTCTCTCTCTCTCTCTCTCTCTCCATAATTCTGAGCGACAAACGTGGGTATCCTACAGGCACCCTCCAAATCGACAAGAACGTGGCCATTTTACAAACAGCTGGCCGTGACCATAGCTTATCTTCTCCCGAGGGTCTGCCCGTCATCACCCGTTTGAATCTCCTCTCCTCCCACCATACTCAACAGGCATACCAGGGAGGACCCTTGGAGGACGACCAGCAAGTACCTCTCTCTCTCTCTCTCTCTCTCTCTCTCTTTCTCTCTTACATCTTAGCTTGCTCATAGCTACAGCCGTCGGTCGGGAGCCATGGAGACCGCAGAGGGAAGGAGAAAAGAGGACGAGCACGTGATGATCTTCCCGTTCATGGCCAAGGGCTACATGATACCCCTCCTCCACCTCTCCTCCGCCCTCTCCAGCAGCGGCGTCGCCGTCACCTTCGTCACCACACCGCAAAACTCCTCCTTCGTCCGCCAGTTCCTCCCTCCGAACCCTAACATCACCCTCGTCCACCTGCCCTTTCCCAGCCACCCCTCCCTTCCCGAGGGCTGCGAGTCCACCGACCACCTCCCCTCCCCTGATCTCTTCCCCGCCTTCTTCGCCGCCACCGAGCTCCTCCGTCGCCCGTTCCGCCGCCACGTCCGCCGCCTGTCACAGTCGGGCTCTCTCCCCCTCTGCGTCATTTCCGACTTCTTCCTCGGCTGGACCCTCCACGAGTGTCGCTACTTCGACGTCCCCCGCGTCGTCTTCCACGGCATGGGCGTCTTCGCCATGTTGTTCAGCAAGAGCCTCGTCGCAACCCAGGCACACGTCGCCGCCGCCGCCGCCGGAGAGGAGACCTTCCACGTGCCGGGAACCCCCGAGTCGCTCTTCCTCACGGATGCCGACGTGCCCGACTCGTTCGGGGAGTTCAACCCCGGTAATCCGATCTTGCAATTTGCGATCAAGAATGCGGAAGACGACGAGGGGAGCTGGGGCGTTCTCGTCAACAGCTTCACGGAGATGGAGAGCGACTACGTGGCGCCTCTGATGGCCCACTACAAGATTGCCGGCGCGTGGTTGGCGGGACCGCTCTGCCTCCGCTCCCCCCCTGCCGGCGCCGGCAGCGACTCCGGCGAGTGCCTCGGGTGGCTCGACGGCAAAGCGCCGGCCTCGGTGGTGTACGTCTGCTTCGGAACCCAGACCCACGTCTCGCCGGAACAGCTCGACAAGGTGGTGCAGGGCCTTTACATGAGCGGCCACGAGTTCCTGCTGGTGGCCAGGACGGCGGGGTGTCTCCCGCCGCCTCCGCCAGCGGCGTCGCGGCGCCAGGGACTGATCGTCCGGGGGTGGGCGCGGCAGAGGGAGGTGCTGGTGCACCGGTCAACGGGAGGCTTCGTCAGCCACTGCGGGTGGAACTCGATGCTGGATAGCCTCTCCGCCGGGGGTGCCGATTCTGGCCTGGCCGATGATCGCCGAGCAGTCGCTGAACGCGAGGTTCGTGGTGGGCGAGCTTGGGGCCGGGCTGAGGATGGAGCCCACTGGGCTGGTCCATCGCAGTGAGATATGCGAGAAGGTGAAGGAGCTGATGGGTGGAAGCGAGAAGGGGCGGAAGGCGAGAAAGAAGGCGGAGGAGATGGGGAAGCTGGCCAGGGTGGCCGTCGCCGACGGTGGGTCGTCGAACCGTTGCCTGACCAGGTTCATGGAGGAGATTCGCCTGGTTGCGAACTGAAGGCCTGGTTCACGATAACCCCCTTCCCCATTCATTTTAATAAATTATCAGCATGCTTGCTAATAACCTGGTGCAACTGTTTGTCTCTCTCTGTCTCCACGTGACATTGAACTCCGGGTGTATGCCAGTGATTCCCTAACAAAAGTCGTTGCCCTAGGAATATCTGACTTTAGGCTCCGCAGACTCTCTCTCTCTCTCTCTCTCTCTCTCTCTCTCTCTCTCTCTCTCTCTCTCTTTCTCTCTCAGTTATTCGTAATCAATGGTGTGCTCAGGATGCCGTGTTTTGGGAGGTGGAGGAGTTTGCTGGGGTGGTGGAAGATGGCGAAGGAGAGGTGGTCAGTGGACTCCGTCCCCATCGGGGAGGAATGAACTGGCGAACGAGGGAGGAGTTGAACGGCGTTCAGAGATAGGAGACCGCCGGAGGCATTGACTTCGGCTCCATCGTGTATTATTACCTGCTAATTCTGTCAAAATTACGCAACTTCGCAAGAAAATTAGCCAAATGATTCTGAACAGCGTTGAATATCCCCCCAGATGAACCCACGGGAACACAACGTTTCCCGTAATCAGGAATCAATTCGTTAATCTACCCTTAATCATCCCGTAAATTAAATGCCATTGGACCGAAAATATAAACGCATCGCCATCCTCCATTTAACAGCCCTACCATGTAGCAAAAAAAACCCAGCATTGCATGGTTTATTTCTCTGGGCTTGATTATGAGCAAGAAAGACCGAGGAGATAAGCCAAGCCGGACAACGCCCATTGACTTAGCCAGGCCATCAGCAAGATAATTAGACGAAACACATGCGAAGCCAAAGTCAAACCTATGTATGCTGGATATAAAGTACCAACTTAAATTTCAAAAGGTATTAAAGTTTCTAAATTTATTGTTTCCATCTATGCTTACATCATACCCAAGCTACACCCTTATCTATGGTTCACAATGGTGACTCTAACCTTTACAACAAGCCATATAAAGCTCAAATAGAGAATAGAGGTGGGGGGTTTATCAATGATGAACAGTAAGGAGAATGGGGGAAGTATCTATTGCCATCACCAGCTCCTAGTTAAGTCAAACATGGGCTGCCTTTTGGGTGCCTAATGTAAAGAGCACCTGGAGTAATTTAATAAGACAGCTTCTAAAATAGGCCCTAGTTCAAGCACCTGTCCTACAAGCCTCAAATTGAACCTTATCATTCGAAATTATAAGTGACGAAAGGAAAGATGTTGATGCCTTTGATATTGATATTATAGATGAAAAAATATTTATTAAATATTGAGCATTATTCATACATGTCTCAAAGTTATATCGTACCCAATATGTTTAATATGATTATCATGTGGATTACACATTGATTTCATAATCATTTCTCTGACAATCAAATCTATTATTCTTTGATATAGAAATATTTTTCATGATAAGAACACTTGATAGCTAATCTAATATCTACTGAAAAATCATCCTTTGATAAAATGGTATATACATGGTTAAATCAATATAAGTAACTCACTATCATAATAGTATTTATGTTTATACATTTAAACTAAACTTGAAATACAACATCTAGTCTTCCTAATTGGACATAGACAATTCTCAACATTCTCACATCGATTAGTCATCAAAAGAGTTTGAAAATAAAAGGCACAAATAAGTCTTCAACACAACATCTAGATGGTGACACTTTAGTAGTTTATGTTGATAAAAACTTAGTATGAACGTCATTAACTAGATTGGTCCTTAACAGAAAAGTTATTCACCATCAAGTTTCAGTTCAATGTTTAAATCAAATACATGAGAGAATAAAAATATTCCAATCACAAAAGGGACAAAGATTATTAAATAAGTTTTCAAATGAGTTTCCTAAATGATAGAAGACCCTATCAAAGGTGAAAAACTATCAGAAGAAAAGAGTTAATAAATAAGTAGAGGCTTTTGAAATAGAGGATGACTATCTAACCAAATATCTCAGCAAAAAAACAAGCTCCAATTGTCAAATGTATCAACAATGAATAGAAAGTTACATCATAATCTTTATCTAAGTTCAACAAATCAAACGACATATGATTAAAATGAAAATATTTTTCACCCCACCCCTAAGATAACTTAGTGGTGAGGGGAGTGGTTATTTGGTGAAAGTATAAGGTGTTAGTAGCTTGCCTTGACCCTGAAAGGACAAAGTTTCTGCAAAGACAGATTTGACTAGTTGGGTAACTAGCTTGTGAATGTCAGCTTGTATTTCCTAAGAAAAATAGTGAAACACCAATAGGGGGACTTCTTTGAGATTAAATGTAGCTAGGTCAGTAGCTAATCAATACAAATATCTGTGTCTCTACTGAGAGAGAGTTAAACACACATGTCAGCATATTTAGTAATAACTCACAAACAATAGGTTAAAAATAAAAAAATAGTCAAAATATTTCAAAATCCAATTCAACCCCTGCCTCTCCACCCCCCTCTTGGAATTTCACCTAGCCCTATGGTCTTAATAGAAACTTTATGCATCACGCCTTTCACCAATTGTGTCCACTTTTGTACATTTTTCAAATGAGTAATTTCAACAACTATTTTCATAAAACACAACACCTCAACAAATAAGTAATTTTCAGTCTCTAATTTCATAAATGATAATCTTTACTTTACTCACTAAAACTAATAAAAATAGATATTTACTTTTCTTATTTATTTTATCATAATCTTCATAATTAATCATCCTATGATATGCAAATCCAAATATCTAATATGAGGTTTTCTATTACATCATACTTCATATAGGGTCATATTCATGATTGACTTTGTTAGGGAAATATTAATAAAATTGACACAGCCATTATTTCAGCCCAAAAATTATTAGAAAGATACTTAAACATATTTTGAGCAATTTATACCACTATTGTGGTCTTCCTTTCAACTATACCATTTTATGCTAGAGTTTTTTTTAATATCAATTGGATGTGAATAACATGTTATATACAAAAAGAGCCAAAATTATGAGATAAAAAATTTATCGTTAAATTTAAACAAAGCATCTTTATAGCATATGATCATTTCTATGTCTGATTTTCTTTAAGGTCTAGAGTGTCAAAATAAGTCGATAAGCTCCATAAATCATTAATCAAAATTTTTAGAGTTTTCAGACTATACTCTACAAAAAATTTAAACTCCATAAATCATTCAAATGATTCAAAATCTTGGACCAAGTGGTATTATCAATAATCAATTAAAAATAAATGTTGTTGTTTAATGATGGAATCCTCATTATACATAAATAGCAACATATATTAACTCATGAGGAAACTTGACTCTCTAATTTTTTTTTGACTGGAGATGACTATTATTATGTTTAATACACACAGTTCACATATATCTTTAGTACATGAAATAGAAGGTAATCTAGAAACCATATTCTTTTGATTCAACAACTTCAATAGATTAAAATAATTAACCATATCATATCTGCCAAAGCTGAGATTTATCATAGCTTTTCTTGATCATAACCAATTCAATCAATCATGAAATGTCAAGAGGAAATATTATTTTCCCAACCTCAATAATGAATAGAGGAGTCATTTAATTTCTTGCTTTTTAATGACACACATCTTCTTTAAAATGAATATATAACCCCATTCCATAATGTATCAATTATTTATACTTGACCTGATTTCCATTTCCCACTCAAACTCAACATTTCTTTCAACTTGAGAATTCATTGGTATGGATTTTCTCGCTCAAACGACAGTGCTTTGATGTGTCAAAGATTTGAAGCTATTCAAAAAGATTGATGGTGTTGCCATTCAACATGTCTACAACAAACAAAATCACCTCTTCACAAGAAAGTCTTATCGGAACCTCCTCATAGATTCCTTGCTTTGGCAATGAACATAACTTCAAATAGCTCAAGTACGTTCAAATCTTGTTCACATAGATCCCTTGCCTCACGAATTATCCACACAACAGCAAACACCGACTATATGAATCAAGCTCTAATACCATTGTAGGAAAAGTAAAATGCAGAAAAAAATAACCCAAATTCGAGGGAGAGGATGGTCTGAAATAAATTAGAGAGAAGAACGGGCGCAGAGAGCTTAAACCCTAGAATTAAAAATGTGTAAATACTATATAGTTAGCATATGATTGTTTTCAAATGGGTAATGAGAACCTGGACTAGGCCTCCTCACTTAGCATATGATGGCAGTTCTGATCTGATGAGGCCTTCCACGCTTACACCACACTTTTTCAGTCATATTTCCATGGTATTAAGACGCCCCACACTCTATGTCGGAGACGATGCAGAGGGTTAGGCAGCGGAGGATGCCGTGGAATGGGTGGCGAAGGAGCTTGGTGGAAGCAAAGGAGAGGTAGTTGGTGGACTCCGTCGTCCTCAGAGTGGGAGGGGTGACCGGAAAAGGGGAGGAACTGGCATACGAAGGAGTCGTATGGCGCTGAGAGAGAGGAGACAGGCCGTGGCATTGACTTCGTTTCTATGGTGTATTATTATCGGCTAATCCCATCAAAATCATGCAACTTCCCAAGAAAATCAGCCAAATGATCCTCAACTGCATTGAATGCCCTCCCAAAGGAGTTCACGGGAACACTCAACATTGTCTGCGACCAGCAATCAAGTCCTAAAACTATCTTTCATCATCATCTCAAAAAATTCCACCTGTCCGCGCTGTCTAACGAAGGAAAAAGCAACGGGTCGCCCACCCTCCACTTAAAACCAATGATAAGTGAAGAGAGAGAGAGAGAGAGAGAGAGAGAGAGAGAGAGAGAGAGAGAGAGAAAGGTCCCAGGTCATCGTCTATCACACAGTAAAGAAACTAGAAAACCCCAGTAGCACAAGGAAACATGCAAACGGAGAGCAGCTCTGTCTCTGCTTCACAAGAAGTGGAGCCTTGGCCCCGATCAGCCACTTGAGGATACGACGGAGATCGGAGCAACACAGGGGAACCAGTAGCGGCGCCTCCCATCCCGGTGGCCATCATCGACCATGGCAAGGCCCTCCTGCAGTGGGTTAATTCATTCACACCAGTCATCGGCTGTTCCTGTTGAAGCGCATAAGGTCACAGAGAGAGATACAGAGAAGAGGTAGAGAGAGAGATACTCACTTCCAGTAGGGTTTCAAGGGCGTCGCCTGCACGCCTGGAGGACCATGAGAGGCTCCTCTGAACTTCTTCCACGGTTACATATCCCTGAGCCTGAGAGTTTAAGGCGGAGGGATTAGGGCAGATGACGAGCCACAGAGCCCAGAATTTTAAATTGATTAAACAATAAAACAGGGCATTAAAGAAAAAAAACTAAGAAAAAAATTTAAAAAATAAATAAATAAACGGAGGACAGACCTGAGCGAGTTCTAGAATCTGATTGTGGTCTCTGTTCAACTCGGTGGGAACTGACCGGACAAGCTTCTTCTTACCTACCGAAATCACTTCAAAACCACTCCCCAACACCTGGGAAACAAGAAATATGGTGTCACATAATGCATTTATGACGCAATAAATAATCAATGCAGATAAATATGTGGCCGCACATATTCCCTTCAGAGCTCCAAAAACTATGAAATTTCGGATACTGCCATAAAATAAAATAAAACCATTCCAGGAATATAGAGATTAAAATCGGAATCTGAAATTATCGGGATAATTAACTCTTTATCAAGTTCAGCGGTCTTGACCTCAATGAATGAGCAACACGTTGAGGAGAAGCTGGCCAAATTTTATTTCCGAAAATATATGATTGAACCAAGGTTAAAAAAATCTAAGACATTCAGACATAAACCCTCGTCTCATGTCAACCAGGAACCCATTAACAGCATCTTGCACATCATCTTCTCTTCTCTGCTGCAGACATCTCAGTCTAGGTAGCATTCTCTCAAGCAAGGCTCATTGGAGTTGGGAGAAACCCATAAGAACAGCCTAAGGTTTCTGATTGGGTTTTGTCCCCAATGCTTGCAGAATGCATAGACAGAGAAGGATCAACCAAAGTTCGTGCGAAAGATATCCTGCTGATTTCGTACCTTCAGTTTTTTTATAGCGCGTATGCAGTCATCCTCAGACACTGGTTCTCGTCCAGCTTTGCGTCTCTGACAGAGTACGCGGTGGAGTTCCTGCAGATCGATCAGACCACCATTGTGCGATCTAGTAGCCACGCATATCTCAACAATTTGAATCCCTGTCGAACCAAATGGACACCCATCTTAATCTTCTTGCTCATCTGAGAAAGTCAAGGTAAGTTGAAAATGATAAAGAGCCGAATACTAATTGCAATGCTGTTCAGTCAGCAACACATGGCTCCCTAGTGAAGGATATTTTTATTCAGGATTTGATTATAGAAGAAAATAACGAACCATAAGCAAGCTATGAGCTACTTGCAGATTTTAAACTTCAAGCTAGCTTCATTAAGAGGCATTCATTATAAAAAAATAAAAAAATATATAAGTTGAAGAAAATAAATCGTTCCCATTTGTGAATGAATGCTTCGCCTATGCCTTTGATATCATAGGTATAAGAAACAAGTACGAATCATACTGGATTCAGGGGAAATCTAAAAGAAAATACGGTCAGATCATTAAGTCAAATGCACTTGTGAACGCGAAAATTGACATACATACTAGAGAGTAAGAGAGAACCAAATGTATCTAAAGCAAATAAAAACAAGAAAATGAAGTCGAACACTGACCGAGCTCATAATAGAAGTCACCGATTCCTAACAACTCCGCCCAGAATCCCTTGTTCGAAGCCAGAGGATCTACTCCAATCTGAGCACACATCTCATGGAATTGAGATCTGAATGTAGGATTCTTACGAATTTCATTCTGCACTGAAAAAGAGTTCATTGAGTCAATGCAGTAGAAAAAGGGAGAGGAGCATAATGGCACTAGAGTTTGCCATTTTAGGTTTTGGTTTCTATGATAACATCAACCTAGTAGACAGATTACACACAAACCACGAAAGGAAAGGATGAACATGCTAAGCTCCCAAGAGTGTTAGTGTCATTCTGTTCAATGTTTTTTTTTAAATGTTATATTGATACACACATATATAAATAGAAATACGTGTGTGTGTGTGTGTTTACATAATTATATACATGTAGAGAGAGGGAGAGACAGAAAGAGGGTCAGGAACAGAGAGAGACTCTACTTCTACTCTCAATTTTGTGCTTCAATTCGTCCCTGACAGGAAACTATTCTAGATAAGAACGCATAGTCCTGTGTCACACTTGAATGTTTTCTTTTTCTAGACTGTTATCCGATAACTACAAGAATTTTAATGCTTGCCCTATGGTTGCATGAGAAAGAGTATTTTTCCGTCTGCCAAAGGCATTATGGGACTAGTTTAATTTCCTCGGGTAACAAAGGTTGTCGATTTCTTGTTTCCATCTGTATTTCCATCCTTCTTTATGTAATGGCTGACGACGACGATCGCGACAGAGAGGGAAACTGTCTTCGATCTCACTACAGAGAAAACAGGCAGAATAAATAAACCGATCGATCCACAAGTAAGGGATTCAACCTTATATTTCCGAGCAAATTCTTCGAGCTGCGTCCGGAACGTCGCCAGCTGTTCCTTCATAACGTCCGCCTTGATCTGCGCGACATTCTGCCCGACCAAGCGGAATTGATCCTACGAGCCGCATCAAAAGCCGAAAGGTCTTCAAGATATCCAAACGAAAAACAGGCGAAGCAAACCAGAAAATACAGGGAAACAGAACTGGACAAATTCAGATCAAACACAGATAGCTTACCCTAGTGTTGGCCGCCGTCTGTAGCCCCGAGATCCCCGCCCGCCGCCTCATCACTGGCGACGCCCTCCTTCCACTAACGACGGGAAAACACCGCGCCGCCGGATTCCTCCAGTTAATGGCCGGTTGAGGAGAGGAGAGGAGGAAAGTCGCAGTCCCAGAAGTCCCTCGTCTTCTTCATCTTCGCTTCCTCGGGCCGTAATTTTCGGGCTCGGGCCCAATAATATCGGTCCGGACCGGCCCGGCCCGAGTCAAACACGTGGTCCGCGAACTCGGCCAGTCACCGATTCACGACGACCCACCCGCTGTTACGCCGCCTGCCTAGCCAGACTTCCACACCCGCCGCCGCAACGGACCTCACCTTCTTTTTAAACTCCTCTCAAGCCGAAGGCGGCGGCGATGATGGCGGGTGGAGCTCTCCGGGCAGGCGGCGGCGATGGGGGAGAAGACGCACCAAGTCGCAACCGTGGTGTTCCTCCTCTGCAGTCTCTCCCTGTTGCTCACCAGAGCGAACCGCCACCTCTCGCCGCCGGGGACGGCGGAGCGCCGCCAGTTAGAGCCGGTGGGGTTTCTCCTCTCCCGGGCCTCCGCGGTGGCGCTGGTCTACCTCTCCACCGCCGCCTGTGGCGGCGCCGCCACTGAGGCGCTCGACAGAGCCAGGCGGACTTGGCGGAGACCGGCGGCGACTCTGCTCCACATCGAGCTCCTCGCCGCCGCGTGGTCTTCGCTGCTGTGGGCGCTCGCCGCCCTCACAAGGGCGATCAGCGGCACCGCCATGGAGGCGCTGTTCATCGCCGCCGTAATGGTCATCGCGGTGTGGCTGGGACCGGTGCTGTTCGCCCACTCGGAGATCGCCTGCAAGCTCAGCGTGGTGGTGGCGGCGGCGGAGGAGGAGAGAGAGGGGGCGGCGGCGCTGCAGAGGGCGGAGGAGCTCGTGAGAGGGAGGAGGCTTCAAGGGTTCCTCCTCACCGCCGTCTTAGCCCAGCTGGACAAGTCAACGGCGGAGGCGGCGGCGGCGGGAAGCTTCACGGCCGCCGGATTTCACATCGCCGCCAAGTTTCTCTCCTGCGTAGCATACACCAAGTTCTACCAGGAGTGCAAGAAGCGCCACCAGGGAGGGAAAAGCTCCTCCAATCGTTAGATTGAACGGTCCAGGGGGGGAAGTTTGACTAATCAACTAGCTGGGGTAGAAAGTCAACTGGCTGAGTCGAGTTGGACTCTAGAATGGTGGATGATCGGCCAAAAACCATGGTCGGCCGCTCGATGTGGGGGCTTCTTTGGGTCAATCTACTGGGTCAACAGCCTTTTAAGGAAAATAACACCCATGGAACTTGACTCAGTCCCTCCGAACCAAATATTTCCGGGAAAGTATCAGTTTCAGTAACGCATTGAGAAAATATCACCTCAAATTTTCGGGCTGGCCCGAAAATGTGCAAACTTGGGCCATAATTTAGGCAAATATTAGATGTAAATGGAGGAGAGGATAATCACCTGAAATCATGGGCCTTTGTGACTCGGCCCGTAATCCTTAACCATTAGGATCTCCCTACAGAACTTCTTGGGGACCTGCTCCAGCTCCCTCCCTTCTCGCCAGGCCTGCCCGACCACGACGCCCGGCCCGACGTTTCGGACGTAGACGACCAGCTGGTCATTGAAGGGCTGCCGGTGTCTCACTGTGTGCAGGAAGAGGAGAGAGAAGCTCGCCATGTCATTATTGGGATGAGAGAGAAACACCACAGAGAGGAGTGTGGCTGTACATTATTATTTGGAATAATTTGATTTTTATTTATTTGTTTTTGGGGGCAATAAATAAAAATATGACATACCTGGGCTTGGAAAACCCTCTGGAAGATTAGTCGGGTCCAAGAGCCCATTTCCAAGCTCGTAAGCTAGATCACACGGCTGCTCTGTAGGCATCACTTCGTTGACTTCCTTCACTGTGAAGTACAGCGGGCTGAAGGAGTTTGCAGCGCTGGCAATGAACGAATCGCCTGATCAATCCCAACAGCAAGGAGATTCGGAAGTCAAATCAAGATTAACACTAATTTACTAATATTAGTATTTAGACTCATTCGTATATATTTTTATTATATTGTATTATTATTATTAGAAAAAAAATGGTCCCTTAGCCTCATTTCTCAGGCGCAACACAAAGAAAACAGAAAAGAATGAGCATGGAAAATTGGGGGAGAACATACCAAGAAAGAAGCGGCCATAAATGATGCCATCTTTTCCGCGAAATATGACCTGCAAGGAGAGAAGTCCGCCGGTTGGGGGATGCACTCTCAGTTTTGGCAGGTGAACGTGGAGGAGAGAAAGTCAAACCTTCTTGAAGTCGTTTATCCAGGAGATAGGAAAGGGCCCTGTTAACATTTTTCGGCCAAAAAAAAAAGTCAAAGCAGAGTTTACTGTTTGAGCATGGGAAACGGTGACAGAGACATATAAAGTAATGAACACTGGATAAAATAGGTTTCTTTCTCTTTCATTCCAAAGAATCAATTCCCAATGCAAACATACAAGCTTACTGGAATTCCCACAAATTCAGAATTATTGGAGGAAGAGGGATTCAGACATCAGGTTGGCATCCCACCGCAGTTTCTGTTGATTTTGTGTTGAGCCAGTAACCCAAGATCATTTGAGACAAGGATTTCAGTTTGAAACAGTAGCCCGATTTCAGATACCAGCGTATGAACAGAGTTTTGGAAAATATAAGAAAAGTATGATTTACAGGTAACTATCTACTGTAGATATGTTTTTCTCGTCTCAAATCCAGTTCCAAACAGCACCCTGGTCACATACAAGGGATCTCAATTAACTTGGAAATAATGACAGGTCAGTTTGGAGAAGTGCTTGTGTTCATGCAATGGTTTTCTTTCGTATTATCTACTTACTTTTCTTAATATATACATATTTATTTATTTATTTATTTTCTTTGTTTGCGGTGATCATCGAAATATTATCTGCTACTTCTATCGCCACAATCCAAATTTCATTGAAGATTGTGCGGCAATCTATCTCCACGAAACAAAAGGTACCCGGAGAAAGAGCGTCACAAATACAAAGACAATGTTGTTACAGTGTATCTGTAACAGTCTAAAATAAATCATTGCAACTATTGAAACAGGAAATTGCACATTCTAGAGGAATGCACAAGCAAGAAAAGAAGGCAGCTGATCTGTAAATCCCAAAATTTATTTTTCAAGAGAACCTACAAAGAGAGATCAAGAAGCTAGCAAATTTTCGTTTTCTTTTTATGATATCTATACACATATATCTCTAACTGTGTCATCAAGAATTCATCTGAATGCTAACGGACCCAAATGCAAGTATAATGACCTGATGTTTTCCGGCAGTTCCAGATTTCTTGAGACGCTTGAGTATCTTCCATAAAATTCAACGCTGATGAAACTTTTTTCATCAGCTTAGCATCCTGGTAGCGTGCTCCAACCAGCGCCCAAAGCCTCGACACAAGTCTAGTTTGCAAGCAAACAGGTTTTATTATCCTCACCATTAAAAATGTGACTAATCATAAAAAACCATCAAAATAGCACTAACGATGTAAACTTTTTTTGTCAATATATCACACGACCAGAAAAGTTCATCATTAACTCAAGAGAGAATAACAGATATGAACGCAGGGAATTCATGATGTATTACCTAGGTTTCAACAAATACAGCAGATGATGCCGTCTTTCCTCAGGAATGTCGCCAATTTTCTTCCTACAGTTAACTGCATCTGGTGAGATAACACATTGTGATAAACTTGTAAAATTTAGAATGGGCAAATAAAGAGAGCGGGATAGATAGACACAAATTTCAATGCCAGGGTTTGAATGATGAAATTTCATGTCAGTTTAGGCTTTGCAAGGCCATATTCAGAGTGATTCAATGAGGGCTTATGATGTAGAAGAGGATTGCAGCGATTATATAAGGCCCAAAAAACGCAGCCCAGAAGGCCAAGAATATGTTTTCCTTTTTCCCAAAAAACGCAGCGATTGGACTGGCTGTTCCTTTGTCTTTAGGAGGTATTTTTTGTTAGCAGATCTCTTATCAGATCCTACTACTGAGGAGATTTATAACTATTTCTTTGCCTGTTCAAAGAGGCACACACCGTAGAAGAAGGGACTTTTCATTATAATTGAAATCTTCATTCCATCTCTTTTGATGACGTGAGACACGTTTTCATTCCTCCACGGCTTCCATAATGAAATGCAGAGCTTACAGCATCGTCAAACTTGGTATTCAATTCTAAAATATAACTATACATGAACTCTTAGAAAAAAAATATACAAGGTAATTTTTGAATCGTGTCACAAGCAAGGGAGGACTCTATCAAGCAGATGCGATGTATCCACCGTCTAGATAATTATTTGGTTATGTAATCCCAAAAAAAAAAATCCTATACACACCAACTCCTTTGTACGCGCATGCCCAACTCAAAATAATAAGTATCAGAACAAACTTCCCTATCCCACAAAATTAGGAACACAAACATAATTTTGTAATTAAAAATAAAATTCACAGACAGCACGCAATGACGTAAATCGCCGCACCTTGGGCGATATATCAAATGTTTAATCCACTAAAAGTTATCAACCATAAAGATAACTGCTCACCAAACGTATGCTGCGGGGTTATACGTAGCAGAGTCAAGCGGGATGAGCTCCTTAGGCGGTTCGAGTATACTCACGATATCCTGCTCATCAAGGTAAGCTATCTTTCCACCGGGGAGAAACTCGAAAGGCTCGTCATCCCAGGCCGAGCGGCTCTTCTCCTTACTTCCCTCCGGCAACACAGCCACCACGACCCCTCCACATCGTGGCGCCTTCTTCTGGAGAAGCAGAAGCTTATTCCCTACAGTATTACACAGGAAAACGAAATCACTAGAAGCGGCGACATGGACAAGTTAGAAGAAGGAGATGCTGAACCAGAAGCCACAAAAAAAAACCTGAAGACAGCCACAATCCAGAGGTAACGGTGCGGCCGCAGCGAGGATTGACCACGGGGGAGATGCATAAGCAGCTGCTGCTCATGGCGAGAACATCTGGAGGCCGAGGAAGCGGTTGAGCTGTAGGCATCCGGGGGTTTTAAAGAGGTGGAGGACGAAGAGGGAGGCGGGGGAGTGCCGCCCCACTGCTGGATAGCAATCTTAAATGGGCCGAACTGCCACGGATGTCCGGCCTAGGCCCATTTTTGGAATCAAACATTAAAAAAAAGGTGGTTATTTAAATATAAACTCGCATACACTCCCTAATTATGAAAAAGCCTCTATCTTTTATGGATTTGTGAATACCCCCACATTAAATTGACGACCAGTCTCCTAACGGTTTGTAACCGCCTTTTAAAAGACAAATACCCTTATTATTATTACTCAGCATGAATTTGGAGAACAAGGGATAGAAGGCATTTTTAAAAAAATTAAGGGGTAAAAAAGTATTCTACTATAATCTGGCAAAGATGGGGATCTTTTCGCAATTATGGACTTTCTGGGGACCCAAAACGATTTTAAAACAACCGAATCTCATCTCAGATCGGAACTAACGTGATTCTCGATACTCGCGCCACTTCCTTTCAATCTTTGCAGATCTAGCCGACGTAGATCGTGACACGTACCCTACTTCTAGGCCCCACATCCAGGGCCCACGTCTTTATGCCTTCCCCTCCGGTGAGCGTATTTACGAGTGCACCATATTTATAACTCCAACGGAACACCTTACCGCTTCATACCGTCACCGTCCGGCCGAACTTGTTTCAAAATTTGAACCTTTCTTCTCCCTCTCTCTCTCTCTCTACACCTCTCTCCCACTTTCTTCCTCCGTCTCTCTGTCTCTCCCTCTGTATCTGTGTCTGCGGTCTCTTGCCGGAAGCAGCAATGGGCGGTTCCCACAGTCGGGAGGGCTTGGAGCTCTCTGATTCCGACAACGAAGGGGCGAATGAAGAAGAGAACCAGGAGACGGAGGAAGAGGAAGAAGAAGACGGAACTCCGTACAGATCCGCGGAGATGTCCACCGGAACGCCTACTCTGGATGACGTCGAGGCCAGACTCAAATCCCTAAAACTGAAGTATGCTTCTGCCTCTTCCAACTCCCAGAATGGCCACGCTAATGCCGCCAATGCGGCCAAGCTCTACCTTCATGTAGGCGGAAACTCCCCGAACGCCAAATGGATTGTCTCCGAGAAGTTAATCACCTACTCTTTCTGCAAGTCCTCCCGATCTGATGGCCCTGGGGCCTCCGACGATGAATCTGATGGTGACGAAAGCGCGTCCGTCCAGTGGTTCTTGAAGATCGGGACGAAGGTAAGGGCGAGGGTGGACCAAGGGTTGCAGCTAAAGACGTTCCCTGAGCAGCGGCGGGTGGATTTCGTGGCTGCCGGCGTTTGGGCCCTGAAGTTCTTCAACCCCGAGGGTTACAAGGTGTTCCACAGCAAGTACCAGAGCTGCCTCTTTGAGAACACGTATGGAATGGAAGCCAACGAGGATAACAGGGTTAAGATTTATGGGAAGGAATTCATGGGATGGGCGAATCCAGAGTTGGCTGATGACTCGATATGGGAGGATGCCGAGGAGAGCTTTGAGAAGAGTCCCCGCGCGACACCCTCAAAGGTTAATCATGGTCTGCTGAAGGAGTTTGAAGAGGCAGCGGATGACGGTGGCGGTATTCAGAGTCTTGCACTTGGCGCTCTGGATAACAGCTTTCTGGTGAGTAATTCAGGCATTCAAGTTGTGAAGAACTTCAGCCACGGGATCCACGGGAAGGGAGTGACAGTGAAGCTTGCGGATAACGTCACCAGAGGTGGCGGCGGTGGCTTCGGCCTAGGGTATTCCACTCCTAAGAAGGCACTTCTCATGAGGGCTGAGACGAACATGCTCTTAATGAGCCCTGGAATGAATGGGAAGCCCCATACAACTGGCGTCCACCAGCTTGACATTGAAACGGGAAAAATGGTCACACAGTGGAAGTTCGAAAAGGATGGAACAGACATAACCATGAGGGACATAACAAATGACAGCAAGGGCGCGCAGATGGACCCATCGGAATCCACATTCCTGGGGCTGGATGACAACAGGCTATGCAGGTGGGATATGAGGGACAGGAAGGGAATAGTTCAGAACCTTGCTAATTCAATGGATACTCCCGTCTTAGAATGGACACAAGGACACCAATTTTCAAGGGGGACGAACTTCCAATGCTTTGCTAGCACAGGTGATGGGTCGATTGTGGTGGGTTCTCTTGATGGGAAGATCAGGCTGTACTCTAAGAGCTCAATGAGGATGGCAAAGACTGCTTTCCCTGGTCTTGGGTCACCAATTACTCATGTGGATGTTACCTTTGATGGGAAGTGGATATTAGGCACAACCGACACCTATTTGATACTGATATGCACCGTGTTCAAGGATAAAGAGGGGAGGGAGAAGACTGGATTTAACGGTCGAATGGGCAATAGGATCGCTGCTCCAAGACTGTTGAAGCTCACTCCACTCGACACTCATCTAGCTGGGGCAAACAATAAGTTTCACGGTGGCCAATTCTCTTGGGTAGATTTTCTCCGCTTTTCTTCATGATCGAGTTATAACATATATTATGCTTTGTTTCTGCGTAATGTCATTCCTGTCTTATGGTAAAAAATGTTCTATATAATATCCAATTTATCTACAAATGTAAAATTTTCTTCAAATCTGGAGTTTGCTATGACTTTTGGATGGGCCAAATCATTTATAATGATCGAAGACCATCAAGTTCTTGGATCATTAGTAGGATCTTGTCACAGCTCAGCTTCACTGAGAGAATTGGTCTACAGATCCTTTTTTCCTTATCTTGCTGCTTTGGTGTATGCGTCTACTGTATGCATGTTTAAATGGCATGAGGGGATGACAACTATTCTCGAATCTGTTCTTCTTGCACAAAGGGACATTTTTTTTTCGTCCGATCCACCTGTGTTTTTACCATCAAAAGAGGAATTACTTAGCGGACGGAATGAAATATTACCTAGTCAGTTGGATCCGTCCTCTAATTCCTGTCGGTCTGAACTATCAATGGCATATTACAAGTGGGTCCCTCTCTGTGTCTACGATAGTATGGTCGACGCGAACTTCCCCGAATCACAGAACAGCAGTGTGGTATACCTCATAAACCTCAGAAAATGAAGATGTTATTTCCTGACGTGGGTAACCTGCAAGAGTCAACCAGCTTTATTTCCTGACGTGGGTAACCTGCAAGAGTCAACCAGCTTTGCTCAACTAGTTGATATTATTTACACGACCACTGACCCACAGTTGCTAAATTTCAGCCATTTCCTTTATTGCTCGTTAATGTTGCTCTTCCACAGTTGTTCTTCGTATTCTTGAAAAGCATCTGAAATTCGATGAGTAAACCGCAACTCTTAAACGTTGACTTGGGCTGGAACTTGATGGGTGCATGATTAGAATGCCAAAGAATCCCGTGAATGAAATCCAAAGGTCAACGATGGGCCATTGTTCTGCTGAACAAAGAAAGTTTCCATTTGCCGGTCAAAATTATCAGTAATGTTTTTCAGGAATCTCTATTTGATGCGCGATTCATCCACACCTTCCCCCTTTCAGGTCACGGAGAATGGGAAGCAAGAGCGCCACCTCGTCGCGACGGTCGGAAAGTTCAGCGTCATTTGGAACTTCCAACAGGTGAAGGACAGCCACCACGAGTGCTACCGCAACCAGGAAGGGCTGAAGAGCTGCTACTGCTACAAGATCGTCCCCAAGGAGGAGTCCATCGTGGAGAGCCGGTTCATGCACGAGAAATTTGCAGTCAGTGACTCCCCCGAGGCCCCTCTGGTCGTCGCCACTCCCATGAAAGTCAGCTCTTTCAGCATAAGCAGCCGTCGCTGACTTCTAATCTACCAACATAGTAATCTTTCTAGTTTTAACTCAATTTTCAACATCATCATCATATGAATATATATATTCCCTCTCTTCTCTCTCTCTCTCTCTCTCTCTCTCTCTCTCTCTCTCTCTCGCTCTCTCTCTCCTTCTTTTTGCTGTTCTAGAGAATCATGGAAGATGTGGTTGGTGATGCTTTTGTAAGCTCTTGTGTGTGTTGGATATGGTGTACCGTAAGTCTTTGTTCCTCTTCTGCAGTGTCCCTTGTATGGGTTAGATGGTGGGAGTGTTGACGGGCCGGGGCCGGAGGATGAAAAGGACCCGGATTTTGCAAGTCGGGACTGACTCTCCTGCTGACCGTGGTGGTCAGGAAGCAGAAGTGAGGCCCGTGACTGGATAAAAGCCCGAAAATGGGCCCTGCTAAGAAGCGCGATTGAAAGTGAGGTGAGAGATTTTCGGGCTTGGAGCTGGGCCTGCCTGGCCCGTTTCTGAGCGTAATCGGCCCGTTAAGACCTCCCTCCCGCCCGAATATTATTCCCTTCTTTTTCCCAGGCTTTCACTGTTGTCTGGATCGACGGAGTCGATTAAAGCTGTTGCCGACCAGAAGCTCAGTCGACTGGGGAGAAAGAGAGAGACAGAGAGAGAGCAGCTGGAAGCGGCTAAGAAAGGGACCGTTTCTGCTGTCGCCGATATCTTCCTCTGCCTTCTTCTTCTTCTTGTTCTTCTTCTTGTTCTTCTTCCTTATTCGGCCCTTCAACAACTGATCGCCCTTGGTCCTCAGAAGGTTCCCGCCGGCTGTGGCTCTGATCCCGCTCCCGCTGCGGTATTCCCTTTCTTATTTCATCGCCATTGGCGATTGGACAGATGCATTCATCCAGTATCGAAGATCAGAAGCAGACCACCAGGCCAGAGAAGACTGTCAGGTAAGAGAGCACCTCTGGTTCTTCCGAGCTCGTGGTGGAGTTCTTCTCTGCTCGTGCTTCGGCGGGGAATCCATAGCTCTTTTTTCTTCAATGGACATTGAGAGTTCGAATTTCTACCCGCGCAGGTTCCGCCCCGGCCAAGTCCTGAGGCCCTTGAAACCCTCGATCCATGTCGCAGGATCAGCGGGATTCGGCTTCGGCGGAGGTAAGAGCTCGGGGATGCTCCCTGAAGACGATGAGCCATGGCAGAGGAGGATGCTGGACCCCTCCGGCGAGGCCGTGCTGAACTGGAATCGGATCTTCCTCTTCACGAGCCTCGTCGCCCTCTTCGTTGATCCCTTGTACTTCTACCTGCACTCAGTGAACCCTACAAACGATGTTTCCTCCTGCATCAAGCTGGACCAGAGTCTGAATACGTCGGTCACCTTGCTGAGGACGATGACGGACCTCTTCTACCTCCTGCATATGGCCGTGAAGTTCCGGACGGCCTACGTGGCCCCCAGCTCAAGGATCTTCGGTCGGGGAGAACTCGTCACAGACCCCAAGAAGATTGCCAGGAGGTATCTCCGGTCGGACTTCGTCGTTGACCTCGTTGCAGCCTTGCCTCTCCCTCAGGTGCTCCCTCTGCCCTCAGGGTCAACTGATCCTTACTAAATATGCATATATATTATTGTTTGTGGCTTCAATTTACAGTATAAATTATTGGATGAATGAGGGGAAATCTGTTGATGAGATTTAGGTTTTTGATGCAGATTGTCATCTGGATAATCATACCGGCGATCAGAAGTTCCAATGAAGACCACAACAATAATGCTCTCGTTCTGATTGTCCTCTTCCAGTATGTCCCCAGGCTCTACGTGATCTTTCCTCTGAGCCATGAAATCATCAAAGCCTCTGGTGTCGTCACAAAGACGGCATGGGGAGGGGCCGCTTACAACCTGCTTCTCTACATGTTGGCGAGCCATGTATGTTCTATCAGTTTTTCTCTTGCCCCCTTTGAGTTTATGTGACTTCAATTTTCATTCTTGCCCTGTTTGACTTTCTGAGCTTCCAGTTTTATTCTCGTCCCCTGTTTTTCACTTTAATTGCTTGCAGTTTTTTCCTTGCTAAAACCTGTGAGTGCTTCATGTTTGATTCTTCCCCTCTTTGGCTTATGGTGCTTGTGGTTTTTTCTTGCCCTGGTTGACTTAATCTGGAGAAAGAGTCGCTGACTTCTCAAGAGTTCCTGATAGTCTCCCTACCTGTCCACCACCCTCAGTGGCTGTCCGCTGACTTTGAGGGCCATCCTCATGCAGGTCTTGGGTGCATCCTGGTATCTTCTGTCCATTGAGCGTCAGGCCACTTGCTGGAAGTCAGCGTGCAAGGAAGAACAGAGCTTCCATAATGCCTCCCAGTGCCATTCCAGGTACCTTGACTGCGACTACTCCGACCAGGGCCTCCGCCAGCTCTGGGCTGCCACCACGCAGGTGTTCTCCAGATGCAACGCCAGCGATGACAGCATCACCTTCCAGTTCGGGATCTTCCAGAACGCGTTGACCACTGGTGCTCTCTCAGAGGCCTTCCTGAAGAAATATCTCTACTGCCTCTGGTGGGGTCTACAGAACTTGAGGTGATCTCACCGTTCCTCCGTATTAGTATTATTATTGTTATTATTTATTCCTATTATTATTATTATTATTATTATTATTACCGTTTCCGTTAATCTTTTAACACCTCCTGTGCCCAGTTCATACGGACAGAGCCTCTCGACGACCACCTTCATTGGGGAGACGTCCTTCGCCATACTCATTGCCATAGTGGGCCTGGTTTTATTCGCCCATCTGATTGGGAACATGCAGGTAAGTCAACAGAACTTGTTCACAGGCTCCTCCTCGACCTCTGATTAAACTGTTTTTAAAGCATCTTGTTTCGTTTTATTTATTCATTTTTTGATTCATTTTATTGTCATTCTTTATGATCCACTGGCGTTGTTGTTTATGGATTACGATGATTCTCTGGAAGTGTTCTGAATGCCCAGATCAGAGATTATCTGATCAGGAGAATAATATTGTTTCTTTTATCCAATCATGAAGATGATATAATGAGTATGAAAGGATTTATTTTTTTATTCATTTAATCATAGTAATAATCTTCAACTATGAAAATATTGTATATATTATAAACTTTAGTCGATTATGATTTTATTCATTAATTTTCATTCCGAGTTGGAATGCAATGGCACTTGGTCCTATAGCCTTGAACCAGTGTAGCTCTGGGGAAATAGGGGGGTTGACCTCATTCGTTGACTGCCGTTCCGAGCAGCTGGGTTTTTCGGTTTTGGCGAGCTATCAGTTTGGCTCGATCAGATTTTTGCCCTTTCCATCCTCGGTCTTGGTTGAGGAACTTGCGATCATCTGCCATCTCACGAAGCTCAATCAGGCATTTATGAATCCGAGGATCGTAAGTCGGCTGGTGCGTTGACTTTTTAGCGTATTTTGAGAGAGAAGAATGGTTGACCCGCCTTCAACCCCAAGATTGATCAAAAGGTGAACTTTTTTCCAGGAGGATGGGATCTGCGGGGATTTGCAAAAGCATTGACTTTTTAGCCTCTTTGATCGAGAATAATGGTTGACCCGCCTTCAAACACAAGATTGATCAAAGCATGAACTTTCTTTCCAAGAGGATGAGATCTGCGGGGATTTGCAAGAACACCCAAACCAGTGTGCAGGTGGCTCAAAAATGGAAAATTCCACGTCTGATCGTCCAAAAAAAAATCGAATACTTTGTCCTTCACAGTTAAATCCGCATCATTTCCATTTCGGGCTGTTCTTCAGATGAATGTATTAATGGTTGACTTGGTTGGTCTCTTGACTTCCCCAGACCTACTTACAGTCGATGACTGTGAGGCTGGAGGAGTGGAGACTGAAGAGGAGGGACACTGAGGAGTGGATGGAGCACCGGCAGCTTCCTCGCGATCTGCGGGAGCGGGTCCGGCGATTCATCCAGTACATCTGGGTCGTGACTGAGGGAGTGGACGAAGAATCGATCCTCCGATCATTGCCCGCCGATCTTCGCAGAGACATCAAGCTCCACCTCTGCTTGGATCTCGTCCGACGCGTACGCATCCGCAGATCTTCTTCTCGCTGTGTTTTTAGGGTTCATCGGCATGGAATGTGTTTTTAGGGTTCCTCCCCGATTGCAGGTCCCCTTCTTCTCGCAGATGGACGATCAGCTGTTAGACGCCATATGCGAGCGGCTCGTCTCCTTCCTGAGGACGGAGGGCACCTGCATCATCCGCGAGGGCGATCCGGTGACGGAGATGGTGTTCATCATCCGCGGGAGTCTGGAGAGCTCGACGACCGACGGCGGGAGGACGGGGTTCTTCAACTCTATCACCCTCCGGCGAGGGGATTTCTGCGGCGAGGAGCTGTTGGTGTGGGCTCTGCTTCCGAGATCCGACGCCAACCTCCCCCTCTCCACGAGGACGGTGAAAACCCTAACGGAGGTGGAGGGCTTCGCCCTGCGCGCGGAGGATCTAAAGTTCGTCGCGAACCAGTTCAGACGGCTGCACAGCAAGAAGCTCCAGCACACCTTCCGATTCTACTCCCACCATTGGAGATCCTGGGCGACCTGCTTCATCCAGTCCGCCTGGCGGCGATTCAAGCGGCGGCGGCTGGCGAGAGATCTGATCGACCATGAATCGCCGCTCTCCCCGACCTCGGCATCTGATCCGCCGGTAGCCGGCCGTCAGGGAGGGAGGGAAAGATCACAGGATCGCACGGTTTCCAAGCTTCCCGCCTTTGCCGGCAGCAGAGTACAGAAGATCAAACTCATCGGCAACCCGAGGTTGAAGAAGCCCGAGGAGCCCGATTTCTCCACCGACTCCTGTGAAGATTGAACAGATCAGAGGATCGCACTCTCTTTCTCTCTCTCTCTCTCTCGCTAGCTCAGTGGCTCTGCATACTTATATATAAATAAATAAATTATAATCTTGATGATTTTTAATTCGAAATTTTTTATGTGTTGGTAATAGCGAGTAGTGTGGAATTTTATGGGCTTTCATAAGTTTGGAAGGCCTATGAGTATAGGCCCATTCAGGCCCGGCCCGACAAGTTAATGTAATGGGTCCACTTTCTATTGCCTTTTTCTTTTCTGGAGGAGAGCTGACGGGGTAGGCTGAGACGTGTGGGGCGAAGCTTTCCACTCAAAGCTGGAAGCATATTTATTCTCTGTTGAGAAACTATTTCGATTGAATACTTAGCCAATATTCATATATTTTATTTTTTAGTATATTAACATCAATTTTGATCGTAAATAAACAAATAAAAATTATAAAAATTGTATGAATGTATTTATAATATTTTATGAGTCATTTGGAGACAAAGGGTGTTGTCAATGGCAACTGTGAATGACATGGGTCCCTTGGTTTTCTCAATGGTTTGTTCCTTTGCGGTTGCCACTAGACATGGCAGACAAAGAAAGTGGGCCTCAGATTTCTAGAGAGCCAAAGTTCATGAAATTGCCACCAACCTCCATGCCTGGGGTTCATGTTCCACGGCTTCGTGATCTTGTTGAAACCTCTCACGAAAAGCAATGAGTTGATCGGAGACCCACGGAGACACTTTTCAAGAGAGGCTTTAGCAAGATCATGATGTAGTACAGCTTAAAAGCTTCACCAATGACTAAGACAATAAAGAAAAATACTACACTCAGAAGTTGACGGTGTTCGAGTAACCTAGGGGTAGAGAAAAGTTTCACTAATTGTAGAGGCGACAAAAAAGACCCAAAGGCCATATGAGGGTTCATTAGAAATGAGTTCATAAATACTCTACCCATTTTCATGACCAAATCTAATCATCCGTCTAGTATGCAAATTATAGAAAGTACAATAAAAGGGAAAGAATGTGATGATACAAAGGAGGGTATGGGTAATAACACTGATGGAAAGGAGGTTAACAAGAGAATTGAGAATGTAGAGAATATGGGTGAGGCACAAGGAGAGAGAAGCCAAGGTGGCACCATGACCTTTGATCGGACAAGTCTGGCCATCGGCAATAATGATAGGGAGATGAGTCATGGTAGGCTAATAAGAAGAGAGACTAGTGAAGATACTGGTCATGTAGGTGGAGGCCTCAGAATCAATAATCTATGGTGTCAAAGAAGAAGCAAGGAGAGCGTGTGTACTTGACGTAGAGGAGGTCAGAAGTGAGGTGAGATTGATAGGGGTGGAAGCGTCGATACTATTGGCATGACAAAGGACACCATACTTCTCAAGCATCAAGGTTAGGTGGAAGGTAAGAATTAGAACACAAGATGAAGTGAGGGATACTAAAGTCAGAGAAGTCATCGCTGGTTATACAGAAGTGTGCTTGTTGACCTACCTCCAACACTTAGTAGCTAGATGGTTATGCTTCCCACAGTAGGGACAAAGAGGAAAAGTTACGCTCATGCCTACAAGAAGAATGACCACCATCAAAACGAGAAGGAGAGGTATCATCTTGAGCCCACAAAATAGCCACGACAAGAGCCGAAGGAGTAGAGGTGGTGCCTAAAGAAAAAGAGGAGTGAATGAGCATTGGGCATACTAGTGGTGACCTAAGGGGCTGCTAAGAAGATGAAGGTGAGATCAGACATGCAATCCATAGAAAGAACAGACCCGCAAATCTAAGATGTGATGGACAGATGAAGCCACTGAGATAAACCTCAATATAAAACTCCTAGCGACAATGCTAGAGGGTTAGGAGGTCAGTAGTAAGGGGTTGATAGATATCAACCTCTTAGATGATAACTTGGAGGCAGCCATAGTGGGCTTGAAGAGAGAGAGATCACTTTATTTGTAGGAAAAAAGATACTCAAAGATCTCCACAACGTGACTAATGTTAGTCTAATTAACGTACATGGTCTCTATGTGAGCCACAAAGGACAGGCCAAGGTGGTATGCATCAGTGGCTCGACAATACTGGGCTTTATGTTCTAAAGTATCTACGTGATGATGGCCAAGTTGAGCTATGATCATGTCACATATAAGGGGTCCCAAAGGCCGGATGAATCCTCCAAGAGGTAATGGAGGAGACTATGAGATTGAAGGTAGAGCTTGAAGTTAGAGGCCCATGATACCAACTATTATATTAAAAAAAAAAGATATACAAATGTTGTTGATCATCATCGTCAATCGTTACATAAAAAAAGATGGAAATACAAATGAAAACAAGAAATCAACAAATTTTCTTACCCGAGGAAATTAAATTATCTACGTCTTAGGATGCTTGGGTCCTGTGTAAACTCCTAGGCATAGATCACTGAAGCATCACGATTCTAATTGAGATTATGTGCCGCTAAACCATTATAATAGCCTTTAGAGGCAATGGTGAATTTGATTTGTTCAATCTTCACAAGAGTTGGTGAAAAAATCGGGCTCCTATGACTTCACAAGAGAAGATGCTTGGCCTTCCAATCAGCAATGAATTTAATGACAGTAGTGGTCATGGTCGTGATAGTGGTGGTGGCAGCAGCAGCAGTAGTAGCAGCAATAAGGATATATTGCTTGAATTGTGCTCCAAGACATTTGATTACATCTCAAACACTAAGATGAAGTTTCTAAGCATCACATTGACAGTGTTTCAGGGGGATGCCCCCACCGGAAGCATAAGGGAACTGCTCTTCATTTACCTGCTTATCTTCATCATGGCATATTTAGTGAACTTCTCTTTGCCCCCAAGCTACTCAAATGCTGCCAGCTTCTGCACATGGCATTTTCCCTCATCGTCTTAGTCACTGGTGAAGCTTTTCATTTGTACTACATCGTGATCTTGCTGAAGCCTCTCCCAAAAAGCGTCTTTGGGGGTCTCCAAGCTGATTGAGCAGCAGTCCCGTTAGCTCCACTTCGATCTCAAGTCTTCATACAATGCATTCATGGCTGTTCTTCCAATGCCGGCTCTTGACATTTCCTTCACAAGGTTGATGATTCATCTTTCATTCTATAGATGTCATGGTTTGAAAAGTGTCATCTTTATCTATGTCACCTTGTGCAGATGTGTCAAGTCTTCCATCGACTTTTTGAGGAGTCTAAATTCTCTTAGCACACACTCACTAGTCTCCTCATCAAGTACATGTATTCTTGATTGCTTACTCTGTTGAACATGTGTTCTACTATAACTTTTGTAAAACTTATATTTTGTATGGAGGAATCAGAAATGGTAATGCAAAGTCTTTGTTTTGGATGCTTTTCTCTTCATCTTTTTCTCATTTTTCTCCCCCCCCCCCCTCCTCAATTCAAATCTTAGATCCCTTGAGATAGAAAAGATTTGTTGTGTACCATTTTCAATATATTGTCCCTGCCCTATTTTGATTGAAGTGAGAGAATGAGAAATAATAATAATATCAAATATAATTATAAGAAATAAATTTAAAAAGTTTAAATTAACTTGGGAGGCTCTTGAACATCTAACCCAGAATTGGACACTTGATGGATTGCTGTGGGATTCATTAAATAATGTCCATTCATGGTTGTGCCCTCTTAGTACTAGTTTTGTCAACATGGCTCCATAATTGACTTATAGGATGTCATAGGCTTGTGATATAAGTGAATCAAATTCCCACCAAGTGTCCAATTCTAGGTTAGATGTTCAAGATCTCACACCAGGCATCCTTTAGATCCCACACAGTAGAGAAAACACGTCGACACGGCATGGAGCACGACACAGAAAATCTTGGTGATGTATTTCTTCATAGAGAGAGAGAGAGAGAGAGAGAGAGAGAGAGAGAGAGAGAGAGCGAGTGAGGGAGAGAGTGAAGGGAGAGAGAGAGAGAAGAGAGAGAGAGAGAGAGAGAGAGAGAGAGCGAGTGAGGGAGAGAGTGAAGGGGAGAGAGAGAGAGAGAGATAAAGAGAGAGCGAGATAGAGCAAGAGAGAGTAAGAGAAAGCAAGAGAGAGAGAGAGAGAGAGAGAGAGAGAGAGAGAGAGAGAGCTTCACCTCTAACTCTCCTTGTTTGCTACTAGATCTACTTCATTTGTTGTTGACTTCTCTCCCTTTTGAAGCATCATAAAGTCATCAAAGGTTACTTCTCTTTTAATCATAAACTTTGATAATAGAGGATCAATGCACCACAATCGATACATCTTCACATCTTGTGTATGTACATAGCTCATGAATATATACTTATTTGCCCTTTGCTCTAACTTGTCACATGTGACATGAGCATACGTAGGGCAATTGCAAATTCTAAGGTGAGAATAATTGATAAAAAAATTAGATCACACCTCTTCATAAGTTTTTAACTCAATGGTTATAGATGGAGATCTATTAATTAAGTAGCAAGTTGTGTTAACAATTCAAAGAGTATGCTTCAAGCATGCTCCAAGAGTGTCATGTTCATTCATTCTGTAATTCCATTTTGTTGTTATGTTCTCGCTCTAATGCATCTTAATTCATACTATACTTATTCCTACAACATCAATAGTGATGTTATCACCCAATACCACAATACCACTACTTACTAATGTGTAAGTAGAAATCAGTCCTTTTGAGGACACATATGATAGGTACATCATGTATCAAGAATTTAGTCATCATTAGAAGATCTAATAGAAATTGACAAAATAATTTCACCAAGGTTAGTCTCTTCTTGAATGATGTTCACCATATCAAAAGACTCTTTCCTTTTTCCCTTTAGCTTTCGATAACTTTTCTTGATGTACTCTTTCTAATTACACTTATAGCAATGAAACTTCTTCGTTGATTTGGATTTCAATCTTGATCTACTTCTTTGACCGTGCTTTTTTTTTGTTCTTCCTCAAACTATCAAGTCGTCCCCTCAATCAACTTCTTGAGTATCTTGCATCCTTTTTTTCAACTCTTTTGAGTTAAGTGCAGCCTTGACATCTTCTATTGTAATATCATGTTTGCCAAATAGAAAAGTTTCAACAAAATTCTCTTACGAAAGAGGTAAAGAACATAGGAGTAATATGGCTTCATCTTCATTTTCTATTTTAAGACTAATATTATTTAGATCTAGAACAAACTTTGTGACTTATTTAGATAATCAATAATAGACGTACCTTCTCTCAAATGTAAAGTATATAACTTACATTTCAAATATAATCGACTTGTGAGTGATGTTGTCATAAACTTCTTCTCGAGTTTAGTCCAAAGCTTCTCCAGAGTATCCTCATGTGATACTTGTTGTAACACATCATCTGTCAAGCTTAGACAAGTTGTGGCTAGAGCATGTTCTAAGTACTCTTCATTTTCATCATTCTTCCACTCAATCAGTAATCTTTCCTTACCTTTCAATGCCTTTCAATACCTTTCAATGCCTTGATGTATCAAAAAGTACTTCATTTTAAGTCGCCAAATGTTAAAATCTTTTGCTTCCTATCGAACATTTCTACATCGAACTTCATTGATGATATACTCTTAACTATCATCAACAATGAACACAAAAATTGATGCTAGAATCTTACTTTGATACCAATTTGTTAGAGTAAGACGTCCTATATGGACTTTAGTGGAAGTGATGCTCACAACGTAAAGTAAAGTAGAAGAAATAACAACTCACAACAAGAGTACTGACACAAAGATTTTACGTGGTTTGGAGGTTGGCCTCTTACATCCATGGGCAATGACGAAAGTTTCACTAGATGCGAAAAGTAGT